CTCAGCTAAATCGACAGCAATTAGAACATTGCGAGCCGCTCTGAAGTGAAGGGGACTGCTTCCTCTTACGTGAATGGAGCGGAATTTTCATCTGCAAGAGCATCAGGCATTGTCTTGCAAATCAGTGCATAGCCATATTCGGAGGTCGCGTTCCCTTCAGCCGCTGCGAGCTCATTTTCTTTAGTGCTTGTTTTCTTAGTGCACGTTACGACCCGGCAGTCTGCAGTGGCACTGGATGATGGGTTGTACAGCGCGACGAAGGAAACGTTATCTTGTTTGTCGTACAGGCCGTTGGCCTGTTTCTTGGAGGGCGGAAGTCCAGTGAAGTTTTTGAATGCTGCCTTCCAGAAGTCAACTGTGTCTTTGCACTTGGGTTGTGCATCAGTGAGAGACTTGAATGCATACGTTCCATCCTTGAACGGATTCTCAGCCTCTGAGCTGCTCGGAGCTTTTGCTTTTTGTGTCTGTGAAGAAATAGAAAGTAGATAAACAATGCGGTCGAAATAATCTTGCTCAGGGATGTCCCTCGGGGTGTGCCCTGTAACTTACTGCTATCAAGTGTTCACATAGCTTCCGCCATTCGGTATTTTCTTGTAGACCTTCGGTACCCGGCGTCTGTAGCTTGTTTGGATCTGAGGCCTGTGTGAAATTGGACAACCCGGCTACTTCTCGAACAGCGTTGACTTCGTCGAGGCATTGGGCACTGTCGCCTGCAGCGAATGTATCCACAATGCGACCCCAGTAAAGGTGCGTCACTCAAATATATAGATGGCTAGGGAAAAACAGGTTGGAGACTGACAACACAAGCTCAGCTGTGCATACCAGGTAAAGTCCTGCGAATACTGTTCGAAACACACAGGTCCAAGTTTTATTGAGAATTTAGCGGAAACTCAACAGCTCCTCGCTCACCAACGCTTGCAGTGTATGTGACAGTGGTCGTTTCGGACTGTTGTGAGCCGCCCGCTATTGGGGCGCTAAGCACTAGCAGGGATGTGCTGAGAAGAGCGCCGATCCTCGGGAGCATCATCGGCATGAGGACTTCCACGAGCTTCGAGTTGAAACGAAATAAGATTATAAAGCTAGAAAATTATCTGCAAAATGAATTCAATGGAGGGCTTTGACAGCGCGCAGTAGTATGGTCCTTCCTTGTGTCAAAGCCTGGTGTGAGCCGTTCACAAGAACAGGCGCAGGCGAACGTATTGCAAGGTCTGATTCGTCAGATCTTTGCAGCCTGAAGCATGCTCAGCAACTGCTTCAAAGGGAATATAAACAAAAAATATTAGCAAAAGCACGAGAGAAGAAATAGCCGTAAGAACCGAGGCTCAACGAAGAATCCTTGCAGCCCCTGTGTGCACTGGATCCAATGTTGACAGCAGTGCCATACCATAACACGCCCGCCTCTCCCAAATACTGAAATATACAGTCCCTATCCCTCGGCATTTCTTTTGCAACTCATACAATATCAAAATCACAGTTAGGTGCTCGCTTTCAGTGTGCGCCGCGCAAGTCTGGAGATCAGCTAGCATACAGAACTGGCCCCATAAGGGTAACAAGACCAATAAGGGCTTCGAGCGTGCAGCAGCTAGCGAAAAGCTACCCAAACACCAGATGAACTGAGAACCTGTTCCAATTTGGACAAGGTGCAAGACACATCGCAGCTTGGCGCGAATTTTTTCGAAGCTCTGCCGACCATCTGCCGCTCCTGTCCACGGGGAGACCAAACTATATGAGGCCCCGCGAAGAGCTAAGGGAACTCGTGGTCCGTTTTGGAAAGGGTGCACGCAGCGGGCAACTCAGAGGGTGACTTGCAAAGGTATCCGACACCCAGCTGGGTCACCCTCGATAAGATACAGCCTCTGGTATGAGCCTGAACGCGGTTTTTGCACTTCGAAGCCAGAAGAAGAGCGACTCATTCTGCTGCATATGTGCATTTGCCAGGGAGCCTGGCATTCATGCAGTTTCGCTCATCTGCGCTCGCCTTCTCGAAAGGGGCCAATACTTGTCAGGCTAGGAGATACCGCCTGAGCTGGCTATAATTTCTCAGCAGCTTGAGCTTTCCTACGTTCCTGCGGGACGCTGAAAGCTTGTAAAACCTACAAACCAGTGTTGTGGAGCAGCGAAAGGGCTGCTCACTAGTTGGCGCTTTGAAAAAAGACGAGAGCATTTTGCACTCTCGTAGGCTCGTATAGAAACGACAGCCCAGGCATACACCCAGATGCAAAGCCGGTACACACCCTGCCGTGAAGCCCGTAGTTTGAAACGTCACAGTAGCACCATGCCAAGGGCTACAATGGCAAAAAAGGCGAAGTGTGGGGCTGCAGTTATTGCAGAGCCAGTGAGGGAGGAAGTGATCATATCCCACTGATCCTGCCTGCGCAGCATTAAACAGTAGATGTAGAGTATCCAGTGAAAGCAACAACCGCCATGGATCTGGCAACAGCAACTTTAAGATCGGGGGATCGAATATTTGCTTACGTGAACGGAGCAATATCTTTATTTTGAAAAGCCGTGGGTATTGTCTTGCAGATTAGCGCATAGCCGTTCTCTGGAGTTTGGCCTGAACTGTCTCTGGAATCTTGTGGAGGAGAACTTGTCGTTTTAGTGCAAGTGGCGACCTTACAGTCTGCTGTGGCAGTGGATTGAGGGTTATATAGGGCTACGAAGGAAACGTTGTCTTGATTGCCGTACAAGCCTGCAGCTTGATTCTGTCAGGGTGGGAGGCCCGCGAAGTTTTTGAATGCTGCTTTCCAGGAGTCGATTATACCCTTGCAGTCCGGCTGCCCGGAGGCTAGGGGCTTGAACGCGTATGTTCCATCTTTGAATGGTTCAGCAGGAGCCACAGAGCCGTATGTTGGCTTGAGCTGTCATCGACAACTGATCGACCAGCAGATGCGGACTTCGTACAAGTTGCGACGCGGCAATCCGCTGTGGCAGTGGATTGAGAGTTATACAGGGCTATGAAGGAAACGTTGTCTTGATTGTCGTACAGGCCTGCAGCTTGATTCTGTCAGGGTGGGAGGCCCGCGAAGTTTTTGAATGCTGCTTTCCAGGAGTCGACTATACCCTTGCAATCCGGTTGCTCGGAGGCTAGGGGCTTGAACGCGTATGTTCCATCTTTGAATGGTTCAGCAGAAGCCTCATAGGCGTATGTTCGTGTGTGCATGTTTGTACTTGTGTCTGAAGAAAGGGAGCAGGAGCACACACATCACAAGTACACCAATTTATTTGAAGGGGCATAATTTTCAGTGTACCGATATGCCTTTAACTTGGGTGCTTACTGGTATTAAGTATTCACACATTTTTTTCCAGTCGCCATCAGTGAGCTCGCCTTCGGGAGTCGGCAACACGCCATCCTGTGTCGCCTGCGTGAAGCCAGAGAATCCAACTGCTTCGCGGGCAGCATTGACCTCGTCCAGGCACTTAGGAACCTGACCTGCATTAATTGAGTTCAAATGCAACGAGTGCCTCTGACCTTTCGTTAAGTCAACTAGCAACGGAGGGTGTTGAGGTGACGTGGACACCATTCGTGATGGTAATTGACACATACATTCCACGTCAAGCTTCAGCGAAGTATGGATATGGCTGGATATGGCAGAAATGCTTTTCATCGCTCACTAAGCGTTGCAGTATACGTTGGGGCTCCCGCGCCAACTGCCGCAATGCACGGGACGATCAGTACCGACAAGGCACTCCAAACATGCCAAGAGGCTTGGCGGCGGCATCTCTGCCAACAGAAAGTTAAAGCATCCCACAGATACAGATGGTATTGGAAAAGTGCAAGTATTCAAATGCAGAGGAAAGTTTGGCGAGCAATGGAGGTGGAAACGCTGAACGCTGCAGCTATTCATTGTGGGGTCGCTGTGGATCTGTGTGCGACCAGAGAAGAATGGGCTCTGAGACAGGCACAAGAGCTCGCCTAGAGAAGGCGGTGCAACTGAAATAAACAAACAGCTTCCCTTATAAAACAGACTCAGAAACAATACCGAAAACAACTTTCATGGTGGCTGAGTAAGTTGAAGGCGCCACAGTGTACCATTAAACCCAGGCGAGCGACGAATCCTCTCCCTGTTGTTGCCGTTGTTTCACATCTGTGGCCCATATCGACCCAAAATCCAATAAAATCTGCTCTTTCCATCGTTATGCTGGTTTTTTACTACTAGTTTCAGAACAGTAGGCGTACTGTGCAGCTTTTGGCACACTGCTGGTGGAGAGCGAACACTTCGTCGAGGCACCAGTCTCGAGCCTCCCTGCACACCTCAGACAACACGATAGGAAGCCGAACAAAGGGGACGCATGAGTATAAGCTGTATAACACTTGAATATTGAGTTGTTGAGATGCAGGAGAGGATATCTTGCTGGGAAGGAGACCCCGGCTTCTGCTGGTTCTCCAAAACCCGTCTGCATGCACACGATGGACTGCCCAGTGACACACAGGAGCGGAACAGCGGCGTTCATTCCGGAGATATGCAGCACATAATACTTTCTTTGGAGATTAGTGTGGAGAATAGGCAAGTCCAGAGCGGACTTGGAGAAATCAAACAGCGGAACTAGGGCGTTGCCAAATCACACATCACGAAGCCAGCTTGAGCAGCATGTGGGTGTGTCCTGACAGTTAGTCTTCCATATTCACCTTCAACTATTAACGCATCCACCATGGACGGAACTCTACACGTGTGTTTTTTCATTGCACTGCGGCTTCGCAACCTCAGTTTGTTCTCAACGCGGCGACAAAGACGCAAGTGTGTTCACTGACTGCCCTACACCTCTTAAAATAGCTGACCTCTAGAAACGCAGTAGCACTATATCGCTCCCAGGCTTTAGCACAGCTTTAGATATATGGGACTTATCTACAAAAAAGCATCGCGGAATAGAATTTCAACAGCAAACTGGAAAAGGTTTGGTGCCATAATTGGCACAAAGCTCCACTGCCACAGCATCGGCTCAACTAGATACAGACTCTGTCAGACCATGTGCATCTGTTCAACGCAGATTTCAACGCGTCACAGTGCCACCATGCCAACGGCGAGGATGAAAATGCCCACAAGTTTTGGGACTGCGACAGATGCAGAACCTGTGAGCGAGAAGACGATCCCGTCCCACTGCTGTTGCCTGAGTGCAGCAAATGACGACAGCTTCACAGAGCCCAGCTAAATCGACAGCAACTAGAACACTTTGAGCTGCTCTACGTTGAAGGGAGCTGCTTCTTCTCACGTGAATGGAGCGGAATTTTCATCTGCAAGAGCAGCAGGCATTGTCTTGCAAATCAGTGCATAGCCATATTCCGGGGTTTTCTCCGCTTCAGATTCTGCATGGTCATCTGTTGCTGTGCCTGTTTTCTTAGTGCACGTCACAACCCGGTAGTCTGCAGTGGCAGTGGATGAGGGGTTGTAGAGAGCCACGAAGGAAACGTTGCCTTGTTTGTCGTACAGGCCGTTGGCTTGACTTTTTGACAGCGGAAGTATAGTGAAGTTTTTGAACGCTGCCTTCCAGTAATCGACCGTTTCGTTGCAGCTGGGTTGTGCATCAGTGAGAGATTTGAATGCATACGTTCCATCCTTAAACGGACTGTCTACCCCTGAGGCCACTTGAATCTTTGCGTCTTGTCTTTGAGTGGAAGGAGCAAGGGAGAGAAATTTGCCGCCAGGGATAACCATGGTCATTCGTGCTGCTCCTATTATGAGCCGCGCAGATTACGGGTATCAAGTGTTCACAAATTTTCAACCATTCGCTATTTTGCTCTAAATCGGTGCCAGGCGGGTTAGACAATTGGTCGCTTTGGGTGGCCTGTTTGAAGTTGGACAACCCGGCTGCCTCTCGTGGAGTGTTGATCTCGTCAAGACACTGGACGCCGTCTTCTGCGGTGATTACATCCACACAAAATCCACTTGCCCAGCAAGCCACTTAGATCTATCGATCATTTCTAAGCTCGCGGCAATGCTTCGAAATCTAGTCGTGCATTACATCTGGAATCGTACACATTGTGCTTGAGCAATTCAATACATTGAAACTGCGGCTATTGCAGAATTCGGGCGGAATATTTGGAATCCGCTGGCTCACCAAGCTTTGCGGTATATTTGACCGTTGGTGGTGTGGCTTCCTGTGAGCCTTCTGGCTTTAAGGCGCTCAGCATAAGCAGCGATGTGCTCAGAAGAGCAGTGATCCTTCGGAGCATCTCGGAGAACGGATCGCTAAGAATTTCTGCTTGAGACAACTTTGAAAATTGAGCAGTTGTCTGCAAACAGAAAGAGCGAGAGCGTGCTAGCAGCACGCCTTACTGCGACTTTCACTTGCACAAAACGTGGATGTGACGCAGTCGTCAGGGCACCAGGGAGGAGCACATGCGATATTGGAAGAGGCTGATCTCGACTGCTAGAAATCTGCCCACCACCTTTTTTGTAACAAACACGCAGCGAGAAAAATCAGCAAAATCTATGAGCGAAGGAAAAAAGAACCCATTCGTCGATACTGTTTGTCAATGAAGTTCGAAGAAGATGCTGTGTGCATTAGATCCAAGCCAGTCACTTGCACCATGGTCCTCAGCGACTACTTCCTTCAACTGCTGAAATGCAAAATTCCGGCCAAAATGCCATCATTATACATTTTTTTCTTGATATCAAAGCTACAACTAAGTACAGTTTTTCACTGCAGATTGTGCGTGACTGGGAGGGGAACATCATTGATCACTCGCACTTGAGTCAGCACACGGAGGAGTCAGCATAAGGAGAGCTTGAAATAAGTAGAACGCGGAAAAACATAACAAAAATATTTTAGCTATGCATCGATGTCCGAGTCCTAGAATGATAGGAAGGGCGAATTGTTGGTACGTTCTCATCTTCGGGTTTCATGCTCTGCCTCAACTTTGGTGTCGCGGAGATACGGGCATTGCAGTCTTAAAAATCATTTCCTGGTCAAGTATATATGACTGCTAAAATGTTGTACTGCATTTGAGGGGCCCACTGAGCTTCTGGTTCGCTGTGAAAAGGTAGATGGGAGTCTCGGAGGGTGGCTGGCAGAGCACGCAACACACACCAGGAACACCGTGCACAACGTCGACACTTGAGGACGCATTTGTGCATGCCGTATACACTCCAAAGCAAATAAATGCCACATAGGTCTGCTGCTCAAGTGATCTGGGCAGGAAAGCCCACAAAGGTGCCGCCTGATTACCCAGCGACCCTCGCCCTTGCTTGCATCCTGGCATGACGCCACTGGCCGCCATACCAGCAGATACCGCCTGTAGTTGATAGATCATAGCAGCTACACACGTGTGGACCACCCCTGGTGGATACTCTACGCCTGAAGAGCTCTCTCGCTACTGGTTACAATCCAGCCTTGCAGTAGCACAAGAAGCATACTGTCTGATGTTCCACAGAAAATTACGGCATTCCTCTTCTCAGATGCACATTTTGAGATAACAAACCATGTTTGCACCTAGATGCGCGCAAACACTCGAATGCAACCCATCATACAGTCGCTGGGCCGAAATGTTACAGTACCATCATGCAGAACTACAGCCTCATGAACAGTGGACTGTGGAGACCTCTTTGTCAATGTAAGGAAACACTCCAGCCTTCCAATCAAGATTGCCGTCAGACCCATGCCGGTCGCGGATTACAACTGGATCCTCTGGCTCTGCTGGCGAATGTTGCACAGGCAGGGTCAGGGGAACATGGTCACCGCCTAGCTCACGAACTTTTTATTTTAAAAAGCACCAGGCCTCGTCTTGCAAGTCGGCGCATAGCCGTTCTCTGTACCCTATCTCGAAGCTCAGCCGAAAACTGTTGGATCGGAACTTGTTGACTAAGTGCTCCTGGCGACCTGGAAGTCAGCAGAGACACCAAACGAGGGCCTGCACAGGGCCACGAGGGAAGCGTTGCCTTGGTTGTCGTACAGGCCTATGACTTGTTTCTGTGCCGATGGAACCCCCGCAAAGGTTTGTAGCGCTATCGTACAGTGGTTGACTACGTTCTTCCAGTCTCTTTTCAGCAGTTCGGGATCTGAATGCATGCGCCTAATCTTTGAATAGGCCAGGAAGAACCCCAGCACTTTACTTTGTTCTTGTGCGTGAGGCCAGAGGCCTGAAGAGAGTGGAATAGTTGTGCGGGGGATCACATTTTCCGTAACAGTAATACATAGTTATACGCTTTTTCCCATTGGCATCACCAAGGTGATGTCCCAGAGTCGGAACTATCATTCGAGGCCTCCGCAAAGTGGAAAGAATCCGGCTCCTTTACGGGCAGCACTGACCTCATCATAACACCTGCTGTTGCCAACCAGACGCACTGAACTGAGACACGCTGTTTCCACGGGAAATACCGTTAGTGCATATAGCATCATAAAATGAGGTGCCAGGAACTACTGGGGGTGATCGACATTACGTCCCAAAGTGTTCGCTACAGCATGAAGCAGAAGCAAGAGGTAAATCATTTCTGCTTTACTGAGGCTTGAAAGATATGTTTCAGGGCCTGCGTCGAATGCTGAAATGTTGGGAGCGGTCAGTCACAGCGGGACACTACATGGAGGCAGGAAGGGTGGCGCTGTCAACTATGCAAGATCTTGAAATGTCGTAGTGAAATGGGCGAGCTTAAAACTAATGAAGCAATCAAGTTTGGAGAAAATTTCATCTATCATCAAGAGGCACGACGGTGCAATGTTTGCCTCTGCCAGTTCGCCAACGTGACCTGCTGTGAGTGTGCGCCTAGCGACGAACCTGTTCCGAGAAGAGCTTGGCTGTCACATGGGGCGTCATCTGATACGAATATAAAGCCTTATCTTCGCAATATATTTAAAAAAGGATGCCAAAAATGGCATACCTGAGGACTGACTAAATTAAAGGCAGGAACCTCATTAGAGCATTGAGCCCGTTCGGAGGTAGGCGAATATCTGATAACGAAGGGAAGGCCGGCGTCTCCTTCCAGCAGGATGCCTTTGCTTTCATCTCAGCGTTTCAGAATTCAAATTCTGCATAGCCAATACTGATGCCCCTTCTCTGTTCTGCCTCTTGCCGCCAGGCTGCAATCTCTGCGGTCGCCAGTTGTTGGCTGCCCCGTGAACAACTTGCGGAGAGTTGCGGTGTACGTCAAATATGCTGAAACGCCCCGTAAAGGCCAGTAACACAGTGGAAGGAGAGTACTTTGTCGGAAATAGGACAGATAGTGAGCGCAGATGTGACACCACGGGACAAATAACTGGACGAGAAGATCTAGCTTCACATGATGGACTCCCCAGTGGCATACGGAAGCAGAATAATAGAGTCTACTCCGCAGAGACATAGCAGATAACGTTTCCTTTGGAGAATTGTGTCGCGATTTGGAAATCCCCGGCCGACTTGGTGAAAGCATACAGTGCAACTGGAACGAGCCCAAGATATTTTGAGCAGCATTGAAGTGCTTCCTGACAGTTATTCCCCCATAATCACGTTCAAATATAAACACAAACACCGTTGGTGGAGCTCTACACTCTGGAACTATGCGCTCGTGCTTTCTCATTTCACTGCGGCTCCCCAACTTCAGATGGCTCTCAGCGCGGCGACAACGCAGCGGTAGCGGTTTCTGATTGCCATATGGCCTCTTAAATTCGCTGACCTCTAAAATTACTATAGTACTATGTGGCTGTCAAGCTTTAGCAAAGGTGTAGCTTTATGGGACTGCTCTACCAAGTGGTCGTCACGGAATAGAATTTCAGCAGCAAATGGAAGAAGGTTTGGTGCCGCAATTGGCGTCGAGCTCAACTAGATGCAGGCTTCAGACCACACATCTGTCCAATGGGCACTTGCATGCGTCACAGTGTCACCATGCCAAGGGCGACGATGAATATGCCCACAAGTTCTGGGACTGCGACAGATGCAGAACCTGTGAGGGAGGAGATAATCCCGTCCCACTGCTGTTGCCTGAATGCAGCAAATGACGACAGCTTCACAGAGTTCAGTTAAACACAGCAACAAGAGCGTTGTGCGCCGTACTGAGGTGAAGGTAACTGCTTCCTCTCACGTGAATGGAGCGGAATTTTCATCTGCAAGAGCAGCAGGCATTGTCTTGCAAATCAATGCATAGCCATATTCTGTAGTCACCTCTGCTTCAGATTCTATACGCTGATTTACGGTAGAGCTTGTTGTTTTAGTGCACGTCACAATTCGGCACTCTGCAGTGGCAGTAGATGAGGGGTTGTAGAGAGCCACGAAGGAACCGTTGTCTTGTTTGTCGTACAGGCCGTTGGCTTGACTTTTTGACAGCGAAAGTATAGTGAAGTTTTTGAACGCTGCCTTCCAGTAATCGAGCGTTTCGTTGCAGCTGGGTTGTGCATCAGTGAGAGATTTGAATGCATACGTTCCATCCTTGAACGGATTTTCCACTTCAGTGACCACTTGGTAGTTCGCTTCTTGCGTCTGAAAGAGAGATGCAAGCAAGAGGAACTCTCCTGGCATGGATAACCACATTCATGCGTGGCACTTTCAATATCTGGTATGGGACTTACGGCCATCAAATGTTCACAGATTTTCCTCCATTCGCTGTTTCCCACTAAGTCATTGCTGTCCGGGGCAGTCAATTGAGTTTTTTCGGTAGCCTGTGTGAAGTGGGACAACCTGGCTGCCTCTTGGACTGTGTTGATCTCGTTAAGGCACTGAACGCTGGCAGCTGCAATGACTACACCAGCATAGATTTCATTGGATTACTAAGTAGTTCAAATGCATTGATTATAAGGAAGGTTGCGCATGCAAACGAATACGCATGAATTGGGCTTTGCATGAAATTAGGGTAGACAAATGAAAATCCTCTCACTTACCAAGTTTTGCGGTATATTTGACAGTTGCTTGGGAGGGCTGCTGCGATTCGCCCAGTGCTGCTGCACACACCATGAGTAGCGGTGTGTTGAGGAGAGCAGTGATCCTGAAGAGCATTTCGGGGCGCGAGTTTTGGAGAATTTTAGCTCGAAACAAAAAATATAAGAGTCGGATATCTATCTGTAAGCAGAATGCAGGGAGGTTCTCAGGAGCAGGGGGTATTACGACTTTTAGTTGCGTGAAAGGCTGGAGTGAAAGTGTGAAACGACGAAGTGAGCCAGCAGACTCACGGGCGACATCGAAGGCAGCACATCTCGACTGCTTGATGCCTGCTCAAGAGCTGCCTTAAAAGTATCATGCAGTCTGGGACACCAGAAATACTATCAGTGAAGGAAGTAAGTAAAATAAAAGGTATAAGTCGATGCTGGTTGTCGATGAAGATTTGCCTTGCAAGTGCTATGTGCAGTGGATCCAACAGTCCCGTCCTCCGCGCCGCTCTCCTTCCACTACCGAAATATGCGATTCCTACTAATAAGCTACACTTAAGCACTGCTTATGAGATCGAAAGTACGACTAGTCGCAGATTCTGTCGGCGGGTGTTCCATTCGTATTTGGAGAACATCATAAGTCACACGCCCGTCGAGTGGGTACACCAAGAGATTGATCAGAGAGGAGATTGAAGTAAGTAGTGCTAGAAAAAATAGAGCAAAGTTATTTTGGCATCAAAACAGTGTCTGAGTGTTTAGATGATTAGTAGGATGAGTCTCGCGGACGCTCCTCTTTTCTCCCGGTTTCATGATATCTCTTGATTCTGATGTCACAAGGATGTGAGAGCTGCATTCCTAAAATCCATTGCCTGCTCAAGACTTCACGACTGACAAAAACTCATAGGACTTGTGAGGAGCCCATTCAGCTCCTGCTTCGTTTTGAAAGTGATGCAAGCACTATCGGAAGGCGGCTGGCAGAGAAGTGCAACAGCTAACTGGGTCAATCTGCACAATGCACATCTTTCGAAATGCACATTTGCGCGTCGTATGCACTCCAAAGCCTTTAGAAGTCAAATGGATCCGCTTCACACATGTATTGGTCTGGACATCTCACAAAGTCGCCGCCTCACTGTTCTGCACCCCTCGCATTTGCTCACATTTCAGCAAAACGCCAGCAACTGCGACACAGCCAGATATCACTTATGGTGGTTAGGGCCTTGCAGCTGCATACTGTTATCCGCGCCCTTGGTGAATGTTGTAAGCTTATAGGGCTCGCTCTCTGTGAACGTAGCCACCTACAAACCAGTCTTGTGGTAGGAAGCAGGGTGGTACTGTGTGTACTATGTCTGTCTTGACTCCACAGACTAGATCTATTACCTATGCGGAACCGGTCCTACCTAGGAATTTCCACTGAGGACAATTCAAGTCATCTGTCACCAAAATAGATCTGCCACCCACCCTCACACGCTGGCACCTCAAGGTCCCGAGGCTAGTTTCCCTGTGTGTCGGGGAGGTGCGTCCGCACCCCGGATGGCACCTCGAACGGTCTAGAAAATCGGCCCGCTGCGGAATGCCGCGGGTACGCTTCAGCCAGGACGAAGCGCCCAGTCCTATATTGCTAGCCTTTACAGGCCCACGTTAATCCATTGTAGTACGCGTTACTACAACTTCCCCGCTGCCCGGCTTGAGCTTGCCCTCGCCAGCTTAATCCCTACTTCACATCCCACTGCTGCATGCAATGGGCGTTCGACTTCATCGTATACGCTCTCTCCACTTACGCACGGCTGGTGCCTGGCCGATGAGTCAGTGTTGCCTAGTATTAGTGTTACCTCATTGGCGTTATTAGCACTCTTACTCCCTAGTGCCTATTATTAGCTAACGTGGATATCTTTAAAGTGGTGCTATCAACACTGTAGTGGACACGCAGTGGACGCGGAGGTGCGAACGCAGCCCTCCCCTTTGTGAGCTACGGAAGAGCTTTAGGGGAGATGGGGGTGGTGAGCGGTAGAGGGTTGGGCTGGGCACGTAGTTGGCGATGCTGGCGGCGTCGCCAGGCGCGTACCAAGACGGGGCGTCCGACAAGGAGCTGGGCTGGTTCCCATGCAGCGCATGGTTCGCGGGCATCGCTCCACTTCACGAGGTAATAGGCGTCATCGCCAGAGCCTCTCTGACCAAGGATTTTGTCCACAGGGTAGTGGTCAGTCAAGTTGCCAGCAACGTCACGGGTACGGGGCCACCCCACGGTCGCTTCCTGCGGAACCCCGTCAGGCTCGCGGGGGCAGTGAGGAACGAGTTGCGGCACACGGAAGACGTTGTGACACTCATAGGTAGGCAGCACAGCAAGGCGGTAGGCCATGGATCCTGTGCGTCCCTTTATATGAAAGGGGCCCTGGTAGCGGGGTTCAAACATGGAACAGTTGTTCAGGGTGGGTAGGTGTATGTTGCTGAGCCACACGTTGTCTCCAACGGAGTATTCCACTGCACGCTGTTTGGAATCCGCATAGGAGTTCTGCTGCCACTTAGCGCGATGCGGCCCTGGGCTCTGTCGCATACTGGTGAAAAAGCTTTGTAATGGGGTGTGTGAGAGTAGGGCATAAAATGTCACCAGTGTTCAGGTCCCTCACGGTGAAGGGGTTTCCCTTAATCATGATCTCGAGGGGTGAGAGCTCAGCGGAAGAATGACTTGTAGTGCTATAGGCAAGTTCGAGAGCGGGGTTGAGCCGCCCCCAGTTGCATTCCTCGGACTTAATGTATGTCCGCAGCACCTGCTCCAGGGTACGGTTAACACACCCTGTCTGGCCTCTCTCTGGGGGGCTATCTCTAGCTTGATGCCGAAGCGGTTGCATAGCTGAAGCCAAAGGTCCCACTGAAAACAAGGACCACGGTCTTGAATAAGCACATCGGGAAATCCACGGCAGTGGATTAGGGTGGAAGCAACAAAGGGCGCCCTGTAATTGACGTTACCCAAAATAGTGCAGTTTGGTCTCTCCCAGGCTTGTACTTGAGAATGCGGCTCACGCTTGCACCTATATGCAGTCAAAGACACGGTTGCGTCCCGCTGGGCAGTCGACGGGAGGAAACACCAAAGCACCATCATACCACACGCTATAGTCTCGTGACGCACGGACTGAGAGGCTGCAACTCTTGATGAGCGTGTGAGGGAGGCGGTGGGATGTTCCACCGACCCTGGATGCGTGGCATTCGCCAGTAGACCAAGGGAATCTAATGCAGATGAAGAACATCATGGGTCTGACGGCATTCCTGACTTGGAGATATCGAATGTTTGCGTACGGAATTATTTGTCGTTAGGCAAGTTCCAGATCTGTACTTTCTCATTGCACTACGTCTCCTCAACATTTGTTGGCTCTGAAGGCGACGCCAACACTACAGGTACTGATTGCCCTGCATCTTTTAAATTCGCTGGCCTCTAAAAGTATAGAAGCATTATGTGGTAGCTGACATTGAACATAAGAGTCGGTCCTATCGGACTCTTCAAAAAATGGACAGCAGAATAGAATTTCAAAAGAAAACCGGAGAAGGCGATGCCGTGATTGGGACTAAGATTCGTTGTCATTCCTACAACTCAGTTGGACACAGGAACCATCGAATTATGAGCAAACGTTCAACTGCAATATCAACACGTCACACAACTGTGACGGCAACCGCGATGAGGGCAATACCAACAAGGCTTGGGACTGCGAACGCTGCAGAACCTGTGAGGGAGGAGACGATCGCGTCCCACTGTTGCTGCCTGAGTTCAACAAGGGATGACAACAACATAGCATTCAGTTAAATGCACAGCAACCAAAGCGACGCAAGCAGACCTGCAATGGGGGAAATAGCTCTTTCCTACGTGAAGGGGGCAGCATTTTCATCTGCAAACGCAGCTGGCATCGTCTTGCAAATCAACGCATGGCCACTTTGCGAGCTTTGTCCAGCTCGAGTGTCTTCATCGGCTTCTTCTCCGGCGTCTGTTGTTGTTTTAGTGCACGTCACAACCTTGCAGTCTGCAGTGGCATTGGATGAGGGATTGTACAAGGCCACAAATGAAGCGTTGTCTTGTTTGTCGTACAGGCCGTTGGCTTGACTTTTTGACGGCGGAAGGCCAGTGAAGTTTTTGAACGCTGCCTTCCAGTAGTCGACTGTGTCGTTGCAGCTGGGCTGGGCATCAGTGAGAGACTTGAATGCGTACGTTCCATCCTTGAACGGATTCTCGGCTTTGGTGGCCGCTTGGTATATCGCTTCTTGCGTCTGAAAGAGAGAGGCAAGTGAAAGGAATTCTCACGCCACGGGTAGCCATATTCGTGCGTGAAACTCCCAGTATTTGGTATGCAACTTACGGGTATTAAATGTTCACAAAGTTTTCGCCATTCGCTGTCTTGTTGGAGCTCTTGTTCACCGGGCGAAGGCAGTGCATTGCTGTCTGTGGCCTTTGTGAAATTGGGCAACCCCGCCGCCTCTCGGGCAGTGTTGATCTCGTTAAGGCACTGGACGGTGGCACCTGCAATAAGCACAGCATCACAGTTCCTATTGTCTCAGCATGTCATTCCAATCATCAGGAAGAAACAGACGCGAGACCGTAAGTTGGACTTTAGATGTGCACAGTGGCTGGCTTCGTGCCGAAGTAATTAAACGGAAAATTGTTGGCCCGTATCTTACCAAGACTTGCGGTATATTTGATAGTGGCAGTTCCACCCTGTTGCAGGCTGCCCGATATTGAGTTGCTAAGCACAAGCAGGGAAGTGCTGACGAGAGCATTGATCCTTGGGAGCATCTTGACCGCGAGGATCTTGAAGAATTTCAGCTAGGAGTAACCTGAAAAGAAAGTGGAGAGGAGAAATTTGGCTGCAAAGAAAATGTACCCGCAAATGCTGCCAGCACTTGGCAGGGTGATTTGTCGTCTGAAATGTTGGTGTGAAGCGGCCAGGTGAGCGGTCACATACGATGTCTTGCAAGACCTGCAGATCTGTGCCAGTTGAGTTTTACATTTGCGTACGACTATTGATCGGTGATGATGAATCCACCATGGCCCGTGAAAAACCGCACATGACTCTAGCTTTAATTCAAGACAACTTGTGGGCCAATTCCATGGCGCGCTAGCTGAGCTCTAGATTTGGGCACGTGCTTGCCAAGAGTCGTGAGAAAAACGTGAACTTACAAAGGCAAGTAAAAGTATGCATAAGGTAAACAGTGACATGAATGCCTAATCGCTGAGGAACCACTGTGACCTGGACGCACACCATTCCAAACAATCGCGCAATGTTTCACCACGCCTCCTTCCCTCCACTACTGAAATCTACGATTCCTATGATTTGGCTTCCCTTAGAAAAGTTATGTAAAATCAAAACTAGAGTCATATGTGGTTTGGCACGGCTTATGGTGCTTTGTCGATCTCGGAGTGTCGCTCGTATGCAAATCTAGAGTTCAGCTAGTAGACTAAGGGATCGACCCACGAGGACCCTAAAATATAAAATCCCCGGCAGAATTTCATCAAAAAGCAGAACCGTGTAGGATTGGTGCATGACTCGGCAGGACGCAAGACATATCACTGCTAACTGCGCCTTCAGGCTCCCTGCTGCTTCTCTGTTCCGATAGCACACTTCCGTGAGCCCTGCGGTTCTACAAACCATCTCCTCAGCATATCGGCTTAGGAAACAAGGAATACATTGTGCATGTTGGAAAGCACACAGGCGGTGTGCACCGACAGGGTTAGCTTGAAGGGGGATGCAGCACACAGCTGGGCAACAAGATAAACGCTTTAGCATGCGCATGTCTTAGGCATTCCAGAGCCAAAGGAAACTAAAGTTGCTCTTGCACAGGTGCCTTTAGCAAATAGCTAGACAATCAGGCGACTTTTCCTGTTTTTGCTCGCTTTTCCAATGGGGTCACTTGCTATGAGGTTGTCAGAGTAGAAGACACCACGTGTATTGGACTCATTCAGCAGCAGTACATCCTCTTCAGAGAGCGCTGCAAGCCCGTGAAAATCGCAGTTTGCTGAGACAAAACGCTATAAAACAGCATCGCGGATGAAGGAGCCAACTGGCTCGTCTTTCGAAAAAAAGCGCCGAAGAGTTTTGCAGGTAGGCTTGTGTATAAAACGGAAGTCCAGTCATACACGTCGATGCAAACAAAACTTGGTGCAGGCCCTGCCGTGCGGCCAATAGTTTGAAAGGTTACAGGGTCATCATGCCAAGAGCTACAATAACAAGAATAATGAGCTGTGGGACTGCGGTTGTTGTTGAACCCGTGAGAGAGGAGGTAATCATATTCCACTGATCCTGCCTGCGCAAGATTCAACAGCACATCCACAGTGTCCGGTGCAATCAACAGCCACCATGGGTGTAAGGTGGACAACATTCTAATTAAGGGATTGAATCTTTGCTTACGTAAATGGTGCAGTCTCTGCATTTTGAAAGGCAGTTGGCATTGTCTTGCAAAGTAGCGCGTAACCCTTCTCTGGGGTCGCTGCTGAAGTGTCACTGAGACTTGATGGAGCAGAGCTTGTCGTCTTAGTGCAAGTGGCGACCTGACAGTCTGCTGTGGCAGTGGATTGAGGGTTATATAGGGCTACGAAGGAAACGTTGTCTTGATTGTTGTACAGGCCTGCGGCTTGATTCTGTGAGGGTGGGAGCCCCGTGAAGTTTTTGAATGCTGCTTTCCAGGAGCCGACTATACTCTTGCAATCCGGCTTCTCGTCAGTTAGGGATTTGAATGCGTATGTCCCATCCTTGAATGGGCTGTTTGCGTGTGAGTCAACTTGATCACTTGCTTCCTTTGTCTGAGAGAGGGAAGCAAAGCGGAGAAATTGTGCTGGCATGGATAACCAAGATGATTCCTGCGGGAATTGAAAGCTGCCATACGACTTACTGGCACCAAGTGTTTACACAACTTCAGCCATTCGCTATCTTCTGTTAGCTGAGCGCTTCCGGGGTCAGGTAATTTGTTATTGGTTATAGCCTCTGCGAACTTGGACAACCCTGCTGCCTCCCGGGCAGCGTTGATCTCGTCGAGGCACTGGGTACTGTTGCCTGCAGCGAATATATCCACGAAACATTCAGAGTTTCAGTACGCAACTTAAATGTTTCGATCTCCAGGGAGAAACACAAGGGCGACTGTGTGTCCAAGTTTTGTTGTGCATGCCAATTGAAAATGGCCCATGCAATTCAAATCCAATTCAGGTCTCAATAGGAATTTAAAGGGAAATTGGAACTCCTTCCCACCAAGGCTTGCAGTGTACTTCACAGTAGTCCCGCCAGACTGTTGTGACCCTCCTGGCGTTGAGGCGCTAAGCACCAGCAGCAAAGTGCTGAGAAGAGCAGTGATCCTTGGGAGCATCTCGGATTAATGCCCTTGGAAAACTCCAACTCGGAACAAGTACGAAGGAAATAAAGAAAAGAATCTGGTTGCATATAGAATGCACTATAAAGCCTTGTTCGAGGGCCATAGAATAATTTCTGCCTGCGTGAAGTACTGGTGTGGGACGGTCAGGAAAACAGTCACGGACGAATGGTCGTGCTAGATCTGAAGCGAAACGCCAGATCCCTACCGCTTTAGACGTGCCCCCCTAGCGCGTTGAGACGAACACAACACATAGAAATTTGATAAAATTATGAGAGAGAAAAACAGTTGAAATAAATGGTGCTCATTCACGAAACTTTGCAATTGGGTTTTGCGCCAGATCCACTGTGAACGGCCGCCCCATAGTCCTCCACGCCTCCTTACCTGTACTACTGAAACCCACAACTCCCCCGAGTCGGCATCCTTTATACAAGCTCTGCGATATCAGAGCTACAGTCATGTACAGTTTCTCAGAGCGCGCGGTGCATTCTTGGTTGCTTTACATCCGTGGTGGGCGGCCAAGTGGCGCAGGAACGGCTTGAAAGTGCGGCACGATTTCGGGGGAAATGACGCCGAAATATAATGCATATGTAAATCTGGTACACAGTTAAACAAGGTACAAGAAAAATCGCAGCTAGGTATGCCTTTGCTCCAGGTTTCATGCTGTCTGGTAATTTCGGTCGTGCAACATCAACACACAACACCAGTCCTTCAGAGCATCTGCTGCTCATCCCCTCAAGACTGCGAAGAGTGTCTCATATATTAGGAACGGCACAAAAAGCTAGAGCGGCACACCCATGAGTATTCCGGTTCCTCAGACCATCTTATGCTCAACAGCTCACGACTGCGCGACGAGTGTTTCCTACATTAAGGACGACACAAAAAACTGGAGCGGCCGCCTCTTAAGGGCGTAAGCAACCTGTATCTTAACGGAGGGCTGGTCAAGTGACATAGCAATCAACTGGGCAGCAAGCCAACCTTTGAGAACAAGCGCAAGGAGACCCTCGAGAAAGGGCCTGCGTATATTATACGCACCTTAAAGTCTTTTGAAGCCAAAAGGGTTTGCTTCTCATGCGATTTTTAGCCAAAGGCCTCACAATGGCACTGCCTACTAATTAGCCACTGCCGCTGTAATGCAGTCCCCAACGTTACCTGTAGTGTTACGCTGTGAGACACAGCCAGAGCCATCACGCAGTGCTTCTATGAGTTACGCAGCAAATATCTGAGACGATTTCCCGATATCCTAGGGCGTAGTTCCAGCTAAACAAAGCAAGACCTGCATGATAGCAGTTTTCAGCGGCGTTTTGAGCTTTTTCCTTCTATTTTCTTCGAGAAGGTGCAGGCAGTTGTTGGAGAAGGGGACACTATCCGTAGTGGACAGAATTAAACAGCTACACCCTCGTTTTTGCGTCGCTCCTGAGCTCTTCAAGATTGTAGAAATCGAAGTTGGTCGAAGTGAAGAGCTACAAACGTGGGTCTGACAAAAGGCGTCCACTGGTTGACGCTTCGGGAAGAGACGGAAGAACACTTTGAAATATCGCGGGCCTGTATTAAAAAAGACAGCACTAGCACGCACGTAGAAAAGAACGAAAGCTGATGAACTACCTGCAGTGCAGCCAGTATTTTGATGTCTCACAGTGTCGTTTTACAAAGCGCTGACGACGAATTATTGGACTGCAGTTGCTATTGAATCCGTGAGCTTGGCGTTGATCATATTCCACTGAAGGATAAAACAGAGATTCCATGGTGACATCTTGGACGCTCTGTCCCTGAAGTACCCAGGAATAATGAATTAAAAGCACCCAATAAGAAAAAGCAGTAGCTTAGAGAAGCTCTGCGAGAGGACACAACGCTCTCGGGCAGAAGCGTCATTTACGCTCTGTAGCCATCAGTAGGCTGCTACTAATGACTGATGAACTCGCTGCGCTGGTGCGGATCATGGATTGCTTCAGTACGAACTGTGAGAAACGCGACACTAGCAGGCCACCAAAACTGGGGAAGAAGCCCGTTAAGTAGGTCCGCAGCTGTGCGCTGGACGTATCCATTTCTATCTCTCCACAAATGAGATCTAGTATTCTAAATGCGTGAATAGCCCGTGCGAAAATCGGTTAGTTGCATATTAACTGCAATGCCGGCTTTTCACGTTCGCCCGCGCCATCTTGAGGTAGCTCACCGAGATCGTTACTCAGGCGCGTGGATGCCTGTTTGGCGACTAGTGCAGATAAGCCAAATCAAAAGTAGTGTGTGGCGTATGAATGCAACACCTAGCACATCTGCACACAGACTGAAGGACCTGCTTTCGCGTGGGTGTCTTTGAAATGCAACCCAAAGACTTTGGATGCAAACTTTTCTCCGCATACGGCAGGGCGCCTCATATGCGTTACCCCCTGTTGCCACGAGTTTGGCAGTTCTACCCAATGCTTAGTGATGCCTCAAAGATGACTGCTACGGCTAGAGGAGTATACCTACAGTTGAGGGAAAGCAGCAGCTCGAAACTGCCTGTTGATGCTTGTGTTAAGCATGCTAAGCTTTTAGTGCGCGCCGGCTGCTAAGATGACGGCTTGGAGCCAGTCTTGGATAAGCAACAAACACAAATTACTTAGCGATCAGAGAAAAATTTTTGGCCGAGCCAGTCTGAACATGAAGCGCTGCTTCGTGTATTCAGCTAGATGAAAAAAAAAAGGCATAACTAGCGCACACTTCGCAGCTTCAAGGGTCACAGCACCAGCATGCCAAAAGCTAAGATAAAAAGCAAACCAAAACCTGGGTTTGCGATTGAAGATGACCCCGTCAGCGAAGATATGATCCTGTCCCACTGATCCTGCCTGCACAGCATTCAACAGTGCTTGCATACCCACAGTGCAGTTCACACGACACGGGTTGCAAATCTTTCGGTGCTGGGATCAAAGGGCCTGAATGGAGCCTACGTGAATGGAGCAGAGTCATCGTCTGGCAAAGCAGCAGGCATCGTCTTGCAAATCAGTGCGTAGCCATATTTTTCGTTCGCAGGTGGGTCACTGTGTTCCGCTGCATCCCCAGTAGTAGTGGTTTGAGTGCAAGTGACGACTCGGCAGTCCACAGTAGCGTCAGTTTGAGCGTTGTACAGGGCTATAAAAGAAACGTTTTCTCGAATCCCGTACAACGCCCCGCCTTTACTCTTTGACGGCGGAAGTCCACTGAAGTTTTTGAACGCAGATTCCCAGAATTCGACACTTTCAGTGCATTTGGGGTCCGTAGAGGTCAAGGGCCTGAAAGCGTACGTTCCCTTCTCGAACGTGTCTTCTGTAGTTCTTGCTGCCACAGTTTGTGTTTGTTGCGTCTGAAAGAAGACAAAAAATGTTATAACTCAGGGCCTCTTTTCAATGGTCCCCACTCTGGAGGTCTTGTGAACAACTTACTGGGATCAAATATGTACAAAGGTCTTCCCAGGGGCCTTCTTGTAAAGCTGCACTTGGAGCAACTAACATATTCTCTCCTGCAGCATCTTTGAATTTGGGTAACCCGGCTGCCTCACGAGCCTCGTTGACCTCACTGAGGCACTCAGCATTTTCACCTGCAGCATGTGCGTTAAGATACTCTTGATTTTTGCGGAGTTCTAGCTGGTGTTTCTTGGCAAGTAGATTGGCCACGCAATCACTTCCTATATCTTACTAGCAGGAGTTGATTGAGGCCGTGTGCTGACGCACGTCAGCTTGACCTTCAAAGGGAAAAGTGAGCCCCGCAGTGGAGGCCTTTTGCTTACTGAGAGATGCAGTGTACTGGATTGTTGCTTGGCCATTTTGTGAGCTGCCCAGAGTTGCGGCGCTCAGCATCAAGAACGAGGTGCTCAGAATTGTTGGTAAGCTGCGTCGCAGCATCTTTGAATACATGACCTTGAAAAGTCACGGCTGCAAAAGAGTTTAAAAAACCATAAAAAGGCAAGACAGTCAGTAAAGGCCGCGTAGAAGGAAATTGTACTGGAAGCCAATGGTGTGGCTCTTACTCTTAACAATGCTGTCAGTGAATCGTATGGTGAGCAGTAGCCGCTAGGGAGTGAGCTGTAACTCCCTGCTTGCATGCCTGCAACACATGAAATTCAGTCAGAATTTAAAATTGAAAATATAAAATGTTCGAAGTGTCGCGCAGATTGAGTGTAAATGGGAGCACTAAGACGCAGACCCCTTCCAAACGAAACTTCGTCACCACCTGAACACTAGATCCACAGTAACACGTAAAGCGTGCACTTATTTAAATGCATTACTCTGCAGGCTGGACCCATTTTTTTATTAATTCTTGTAATGTGCGTTATTGTTCAGAGTGGCAAACATTCATTGAGCGGTTGGCTTCAAGGTGCCCGTTGACGGGAGGTTGTTCGCCATTCGTGTCTTCGCCGAGGCTAAGCGGACAGGAAGAGCTCACTGCATATAAGCCTGGAATATCGTGTCTCTCTGAAGCAAAGTACAGATCCAAAGACGTGCTGAAGCACTGGATGGAGCAAGATACCGTCCCTCGCTCGGTGCCACTTTGTTTTGCCCGCTACCAGCGGCAGGGAAAGGTGGGTCGTTGAAGCTGCACAGAATAACTTCTTCTAACAGCAAAAAGCAGCATATGAGCTGCAGCGTATGCCTGGTAATCAATTGGCTGCTCCAAGTTTCCCTCAACAATGTGCGTGCAGCAGGCTACTCCATAGTGCGTCCAAGCCAGTTAGAGTGCCTCTAGAGAAAGCAATGGTATTGAAACTTTTTTTTTTTTTTTAATTTGACGAGTGAATCACTTATCAAAGGAGCCGTACAATCGTCCCAGCTGATAACCCCGTATCATCTACTTCCTCAACATCTGTGTGAGGATCAGCAGATAATCGACAGATGCTACTGTAGCAGTCATAAATTATCAGCAAAAGGAGCTGAAGCTGAAGATCTATTTTTTGAAGGTTTCGGAAAATTTAATAGCCACCTAGGGCTTGGCTCACGCAGGGCAGTGCTTCAATTGTATGGCAGAATTAAAAGTTTGTTGAGATGGTTGCAAAAAACGCGGAAAGGTTTATTGGCCGATAGGTGCATTATGTCTCACAACAGCATCAAAATCCGAACACGAAACGATGGAAATGATGCTTTACAGCCAATAGCGCGGAGCCTCATAGCGCGGTAATGCCAAATGCCACAATGCCAAAAACAACCAAGCTTGGAGCTGCTATGGAAGTCGAGCCTGTGAGAGATGATACGATTTTGTCCCACTGCTCCTGTCTGCGGAACGCATTCAACCGCACGCATATTATCCCATCAAACTCACAGCAATTGAGACGGTAAGTTTAGCACTGAGCTGCGGGGACCAAAGCGCTACACTCACGTGAATGGAGCGGTGGTATCATTTGCAAAAACTGTGGGCACCGTTTTGCAAAGCAACGCGAAGCCGCTTTTTGTAGTTGCACTTCCCGTATCAGCTGACGTGCTTGCCGATTTTGAGGCAACACCCGTCGTTTGGGTGCAAGTGACGACCCGGCAGTCTGCAGAGGCATTGGCTGAAGGGTTGTACAGAGCGACGAACGAAACGTTGTCTTGACTGTTGTACAGTTCTCCAGCGTCATTCTTTGATGGCGGGAGTCCGGTGAAGTTTTTAAACGCTGCCTTCCAGTAATCAACTGTTTCCTTGCAGCTGTGTTGCTCATCAGTCAACTTCTTGAAAGCATATGTGCCTCCGCTAAAGGGATTTGTGGGCGCTTGATCAGCAAGTGTTTCAACCTGCATCTGAGAAGAGAAGGAGAGCCAACCGGGCAGGACTAGTGCGCGCGACGAGGTCAATGGGAACACGTCTTAAGTACACTCAGCAACTTACTGGTATCAAATATTCACAAAGGTCTTTCCACTTTCCGTCTGCAAGTGCTTCTTGTCCGGGCTCAGGTAACTTCTGGTCTGTGCTTGTCGCAGCAATGAACTCTGCCAATCCAGCTGCCTCGCGAGCTGCATTGATTTCGTCGAAGCACTGGGGACCAGTGCCTGCACGGGAAAAACTAGAATGCACTAGCACAGCTTTTTCTTATGAGGTTGTGCAAACGCTTGGCGCCTGTATCATAATCACCAGCTTTGTGTGCCGGAATCGGTATCCACCCATGCATGACACTGCGGTAAAATCTGCATGCCGAATTTTTTGTCCAGAACAATATATTTACGTCGCTCACCAAGAGTTGCTTTATACTGTACGGTGCTCGCCTCAGGCGTCCCATCGCTTCCAGAGCTAAAGGCGACCAAGAGCAGCGAGGTCGTTACAATGGCGAGCGGACTGGGCAGCCACATCTGAGCGAGGCAAGCCACAAAAGAAATGCTTAAAAAACAAGCTTACTGAAACAGCGAAGAAAGTCAAACTGTAAGGGCAAATTGTAGAGATATCTCTTTCTTCTGGCTTCCCAAGGGCGTTGTCACCTTGGATCGGTTACCCGGGCCTCGCTAGGCATTCGCACTGCAGGCGCTTGAACTGGATCTAGGCTGTCGGACAGGTTGCCGCTCAGAAGCACTCACCGTTTCAAACTCCAAAAAATTTCCTCGTCCATGTATAACGATTTTTGGAAATGCTCGGTAGGTGAGGTAACCCATGGAACCGACGTTGCCAGTATACTACTACATCACATGCGCAGTTCATCTACTACAGCGCAACCAGCGACATCAACTCAGTGTTACAACTCCCGGCTCACCTTCAGTGAAATCAATTCATTACGCAAATTTTCAAGTCATACATAATTTTAGTAGCTAGGGCTTTATACGCTTTACACGCTTTTCAAACCAAAGCCCCGTTTTTCCTTGGCATGCCAGCAGTAATCTTTATACCAAGAGCTGTTTTTTCAGACCTTTCTGTGCCAGTGCCACCATAGCTCTGGTGAGGCAAAACCTTAGTTACAGCTAAGACAGAGGCACGGTGCATAGGCAGTAGTATTTAGTAGGTACTCAATGAATCGAAGGCGTTCTCGGCAAGTTGATAAGGTGAAACGTCAAACGCTCATATAACTCTACCTTAAAAGGTGCTTTGATTTACTTGCTTGATGCTCTGCTTCGTTTTAAATGCTTGCTCACTGATGCGAAACCCGGAATCCTGTTTTTCTGCATTCACTTACTCACCCTGTCGGCTTTTGAACCAAACATCTGTTTTAGCTTAGCCTTGCCGTGTTTGGAAGTCTTGCTCTTAATGTGCAAACACAGTCTCCTACCGATAGGATGTCTCCAGAGGTACCTCATGGCTTAAAATTGATGCGAGTGCTGCAGCCTCACATATAGCAGAGTTTCAACTTGTGCTGAAGCTGTCAGCATTCGATTTGCTGAGACAGTTGTAACTTATGCTAATAATTCCTTTGTATCCCCCGTTTTATTCTTGGGGCTGGAGAAATCCATATGCATTTTAGTGCACCAGTCCATTTACACTAACTCTGCGTCCACGCAGCGCTGTCTACGGCGAATCCTTGTTTAGCCTGCACTTCAGCCGAACGCCACCCTCGAACTAAATTTTCTACTGAAAGACAAATTCTTTTTGTGCCCACAGATTATGCTGATTTCATCCATGCAGCTTTAAACTAATACTCTGCCGGTAACTTTTAGGGATAATATTCCTTTCAGCTGATGTAGGTTCTGACAATGGCTGAAGAAGGCTGAACTGAATTGGTTCTAGTGTAAAAGGTCAATTTCACTCTTACCAGCTTGCCCCCTGTTGCATTTATTGTGAAATACGTTCAGCTGTAGAACACGTTCATCCATCGTTCATTACAAGAAGATGTTTTATGCGATGCGTTGCAGTTCAGATCCACACACAACTTTGACGGCAGTTCATTTCTTCTACGTGGGTAGCAGGAAGCCTCTGCATAACTTGTCGATCTATGATGCTGGCATTAACACGGGCGAGTGCTACAGTTGCTATGAAACTTTAACATGAACATGAATGGCCTGTGTTTATCGATGCTGATTGGAACAGTTTGAAAGCATGATGTATCTAGTAATTTTGCATCTTTTCTGTGCTTACCCTTTCTGCGGTTGCACGAACAACACAGTTTCACTGGTGCGAAGCAAAACGGCGAAGGTTTTAATTTTTGATGTGAAAACCGTGCCTAACTTGCCGTGCACTTATTCCTAAGCCATATTATTAATTTGCTAACATCGAATAAGGCCCCAAAATCGTCTTGGCATCACAACGCGGGCAAGTAGTTTTATGAGCTCTACGCCAGACTCGTCTTGAAGGCCACTGCTAAGGATCATATGTTACACTCCTCAATAAGAAACGTAATATATGAAGAAATAGGCAAATTCAATGGTGAATGCATGTGCTTCACATTATGCCCAAGCAAGCATAATCTTGCTTCGAAAAATTATGGGCCAAAAGACAGCTTCTGGACACTAGAATAAAAGATTCAAGCGCATTCGCAGGAATACCCAGATCATCTTATGTGTGGAGAAAAGATTCCTGGGCAGACTGCTTCTAGTGAACAGAGGCGCACAAGAGCATCTCTCCCCACTGAAAACTCATAAATATATTTACCTACGTACAGTGGAATATGTTAAGCAATACTGGCAGCTTTCCACTAAACGTGCATTTGGAAAGCAAACATTACAGGCTTCTTTAGTGTTGAAAACGTTCGCCTTACCTTTCACAGTAACTCTAGAAAGGCACATCTTAAATGGCTGTTTTCGATGCCCTTGTATAGATGTTGCCGTCTGGAAGCCCTTTAAAGCATAATTCATGAAGCTTACAGTTTTACATATTTGAACAGTTAGCACGATTAGTGTGCTGAATTCTTGTTTTCTATTTAATGATAATCCAGTTCATTTGTAATTGGCTTTACCACTCCCGCTTCTAAGTACACACTTTGCGCCTGATAAAAGGTGCTCTCATACCATAACTTACCACCTTAATACACCTGCAGAGATCCTGTAACACGCCTGTACACGCTCGTACCCAATGAGGCGAGAAATGTTGCTAGGGATTCTGCTTCCTGAGAAGCAAGCCGATCCCACTGCTCCACCGGCGCTGTTAGCGTCGTTGAGGAGCAAGAAACTGTCACCTGCTCCGAACGCACCCAGGCCTCCTCTTCACACAACTAAACTCGTTTGTTGTTCATAAGGGAGAAGACTCAACTCCAGTTGACCAAGATAGCAGGAGTCCATCGCCAGGATGTCTACAGTGCGTCAAGACGCACAGTAGAATAGTTGAAGCATCTCTTTTATCAAGCACTGCTGCACATTTGACAGTAGTTCATTCAAACCTTGTGAACCGCTAAATTTTGGGAATCTCAGCATCAGCAACGGGGCTGTTCGGGGAGAAAAGAGGTTCTTTGAAAGCGTATCGATTTAGCATCGTATGAAACTACAGTGCAGCAACTAAGGGACATTGTTGAACAGCAAATGCAATGAGACGCGCAACTGTTTTCAGTTCTCGTTAGGCATTAGTAGGTACTGAAGAATCCGTTGCATTCGCGTGATCTGAATCTAGGCTACCAGACTACTATTAACAAAAACCTTTTCCGCCTTCTTTTTGCAAGTATCCAGAGGAACACGTGCAAATTTTGTGCTAGGCGATATCACTGCTCCCTAAAAGGAGATTAACTGTTGCGTATTGGACCTAGCCATCCCCTTCTCTCTACAGAGAATATGAATTACTTGTCCATCGTTGCATATTTGAATTCGTGGCAAAGTATATTTATTTCTGGGTCTCCACACCACGCGATGCAGATTTGATATCGTTTATCAATTGTGCAAAAATAAGTTGGAGGCGAGCTGCTGCGAGATCAATCCCAACAGGCGAAATCACAGCCTGTGCAGTGGCAAGTGAATGCAGAGTCGAGATATGCACAGCGCACCCTCACCTAGAACATACTGTTAATGTTCCCGCGCCTCTAAAATGCAGTCTAGATGTTTCAGGTGCAATTTTGTTTCCTCCCCATACGTGGAATTTGGAGGACAATTTCTATGTGTGCACCATTCTCGTCATGTGTCGCGTATGCTTCCTCAACCTTTTGTGAGATAGCAAAGATGACTGTCAAAGCTGGAATTACGAAGAAGGGGGTTCTCAAAAGTCGCCGCCGAATGCCCGTGATGAATGCTGTAAGAATTAGAGCATGCCAACTGCGAAAATGAAGAGCTTCCAACCACCATCAGATCCTCAGCGGAAGACAATTGCGAGTTTATCTTTCGAAAGCCAGAAAGAGCGTTTCTTCAGGTCGGAAGTAATGGGAAGCGCGGCTCAATGAATGCACTTAGGTGGAAAAGGCACCGGTTCTGTTACCAGCATACGCCTCATAGTTTGCAGGGTCACAATACTGCCATACTTAAGACTACGATAAAGAATGCACCGAAACCTGGGATGGCGGCTGACGCTGACCCTGTAAGGGAGGATATGATCCTGTCCCATTGATCCTGCCTGCGCAACAATAGCCAACGCTTGCGTAGTCACAATGCGCATCACGAAAAGCCATAGTTTGTGAATTATTCAGTCTTGATATGGAGTGAATACTTTGGTCCTTACGTGAATGGAGCAGAATTTTTGTCTGCAAAGGCAGCGGGCATTGTTTTGCAAATCATTGCGTATCCATATTCTTGGCTTCCGCTTGGACTGTCGCGAATCGATGAATCGCCAGGAGTAGTAGTTTTAGTGCAAGTGACGACTTGACAATCTGCAGTGGCATTAGATGATGTGTTGTAAAGGGCTACAAAAGAGACATTGTTATAGCTCTTGTAGAGATCTCCAGCTTGACTCTCTGACGGCGGCAGTCCAGTGAAATTCTTGAAGGCTGCCTTCCAGTAATTCACTATTTCCTTGCAGTTTGGTTCCGCAGTAGTTAGGGACTTGAAAGCGTATGTTCCTTTCTCAAAGGGATTTGTTCCACTTGTCGCCTCTACGGGTTCTTTTTGCGTCTGAGGGAAAGAAACAGAAAACACTAGTGCCGGAGACGGTTAGTGGCGGTGACTTTAGGAATACTCCGCGCCACTTACTGGGATCAGGTGCTCGCAAACTTTTTTCCACTCGGTGTCGTTTTCTAGGTCATCTGAAGGAGCACTTAATTTTTTGTCGTTTGTGGCCTCTGCAAAATTCTTCAACCCAGCTGCCCCACGGGCAGCGTTGACCTCGCTGAGGCATTTGGCACCTCCACCTGCAGTGTTTGCATTGAAAAACAATTTATATTTGTAATGCATTTGCTGGGGCTAAGTAGAATTGACTTGCATTCGTACGACGAAACTCACTTGCAGTAGCTGACTGTGAGGATATATATGTGCCTTCAGAGGGACGCCAGCCTACGCTTCCACTAGAAATGAGCAGCACACTGAGGATTCACTACATACCGAGAGAAGCAGTGTACTTGATTGTTGGTGCACTTTGTTGTGAGGTTCCCAGGTATGAGACACTCAGCAGAAAGATCGAGGCGCTGAAAACAGATGGTATACGCAGAGGCAGCATCTTCGAATATTTGATCCTAGAAAAGCTAGGCTGCAAAAATATTACCTAGAAAAACCCAATGGGGAAATCATTTGGCAAAGGACGAACAAAAGAAAGTTGCATTTACAGCAAGCAGTGTGACTAGTGCTGTCACCGCCTCTGTGGATCGGTGCAGAGCAGTGGCCTTAAGAGAACGCGCACAATTAAGGTCTGGTTTAGCTCTTGCAGAGCTCCACCACTTGAAATTCAACCAGGATTCAACATTAAAAATATAAATTGTGTGAGCGGTTTTTCCCGGATGAATGTAGAGCGAGCTTTGAAGGAACACAGTTTCCTTATAAGGTGTGACCTGAGCATCAGATCTAGGTGATCACGGAAACAAACAGCTCTGTAGTGCGTGCGCTAGCCAGAAAGAGAAGTCTGCCCTTTCTATGGCATCATCTTATATATGGTGTTTGACTAAAAGCCCAACTGCATTTATGTGGGCTATTTCAAGGTATCTGTTGACATTGAAAGGGGCCTTTCATCATTGGTGTTTCGTTTGTGGCTCAGCACTCACGACGTTCCCACCTCGTATACTCCTCGTGTGTTTCGCATATTCCTATAAATTTCAAGTAGCTAGAAATAAACAATTGTAAATGGGAAAAAGATGCCGATTCCTGAGCGGGCCAACGTCATTTTTTTCTAGAGGTGGGGACAGATTCTCATAAGACCAACACAACGTCGTGCCCGACAGCCACTCAACGCCCAGTATATGCTGCTTTTTACTCTGCAATGATTTGGGGTGTACTTCGTTCTGTTAACTTCAACTGCCGCACTGTTTCAGGTCCCAATTGCAAGCATGAGCAGCGACGTCGTTACAACGCCAAGGATGCTCCGAGGCGCCATCTGTTCCAAACATATTACAAAGAGAGCACTTAAATAAAGCATCGCCATCTGTTCCAAACATATTACAAAGAAAGCACTTAAATAAATCATTCTCCGCAGTAAGAGGCTAGAATCAAAGCGAAAGCGGACACCACGATGATGTGACCTCCTTGTACCGTCAGTTGTCCAACCAGGTTTCATCTCGATTTCGAAGCGCGTTGCCGCTAGGCATCGCCGGCAGATCAGTGATAATATTTACGTTTAAAAGACTTTTATTTGTAAATTAAAAGAACAAGGATTTCTGGCGGAACTCAGTGAGTGACGGACACCCTGCTAACAGATGGTGACACGTCATTTCGACAATCCTCTTGCTGGCTCATATCTTCTCGCGGACCTGCAGCGGAATCGAGGTTTCTTTTTTCCCACTTTACACGGGCTAAATCATATCTCTACCCCCCTTTTTCACTTCCTACACAGTTGTGGTGTGGAAACGATGCGCCTTTTGGGGCTTTCACAACGCGAGTCGCGACTGTAGGGAAAATCATCTGCCGCAAGTGTTTGCCAGGAGCGTTTCCTGTGTGACCCAGCCCGCAGAGGCACAAAGAGGGAAATTGAACAAAGAAGATGTCATGGAATAGCATATCTAGCATTATAAGGCTTGATTGATCAGTCGAACAATACAATGGGAAAACGAAACTGAATGAACTCGAGATGCTATCTTTCACAAATGTTTGCCAGCGTCCACAGAAACGAGCGACGGTAAGCCAAGCCACAGATGGGGCATAGTAGGTCAACGCAGCCACTAGAACGCCTTGAGCTAGTTCAAACGCAATGGATCCGCCCAGGCGCTCCTGACAAGCAGTTGAGCGATTTCATATGCAGTTTGTTTCCTCCCCATATCTTCGGTTGACAGGGCTTCCCATACACCTGTCTCGTAATTGTCATTGATCATTAGGTTTTTCTGATTCTTTCTGAGATGGGAAAATACCTGTTAAAGCTAGCTGAATCCAAGTAGAGTTGAAGAAAATTACCAGCTCAAAATTGTCCTTTGAAAACTGCAACTCATGCGGCAAGGACTTTTCCTTCAGATCAGCTTAAGTGTGAGGCGCTGCCTCACAAGGACAGCTTGGCGCAAAAGGCGCCTGTGCTGTTGCCAGCGTACAACTCATTGTTTGCAGGGCTACAGGGCTATCCAGCTGGACACTGCGATGAAGAGTGCACAAAAGCCTGGGATGACGGTTGAAGCTGACCCCGTGAGAGAGGATACAATCTTGTTCCACTGATCCTGCCTGCGCAAAAACAGCCAACGCTCGCATACTCACAGTCAACCTCACAGAAAAACACAGTTTGTGAGTAATTCAGTGGTGTGATGAAGCCGTTACGCTGTTGCTTACGTGAATGGAGGAGATTTGTCGTCTGGAAAGGCGGAGGGCATCGTCTTGCAAATCAGCGCGTAGCCATTTTCGGAGCTTTGGTCTGAATCACTTTGTAGCGCCGCCTCTGATGCAGTGGCTTTAGTGCAGGTGACAACTTTGCAGTCTGCAGTGGCATCAGATGAGGGGTTGTACAAGGCTACAAAAGAAACGTTGTCTTGATTTTTGTATAGATTTGCGCCTTCAGTCTTTGATGGGGGAAGTCCAGTGAAATTTTCGAAGGCTGCCTTCCAGTGATCAACTGTTTCCTTGCAGTTAGGTTCGGCGGCAGTTAGGGACTTGAAGGCATATGTTCCGTCCTGAAAGGGATTGGTTGCGCCCGCCGCAGCCACTGGGTCTTTTTGCTCCGTCTGACAGAAGAAAAAGGAAAGCGCTGCAGTGCCGGATACTGTTAGTGTTGATGACTCTAAAAGCACCTAGCGCTTCTTAGTGGAATCAAAGGATCCCAAACTGTTCCACTCCCTATCTTGGTCTAGACAGTGGTGGTGACTTCAGAAATATTCTGCGCCGCTTACTGGGACCAGATGTTTGCAGACTTTCATCCACTCGCTACCTTCTTGCAGTTGCTGTTCTGGATCACTTAATTTTTTGCCGTCTGTGGCCTCGGTGAAGTTTGGCAACCCGGCTGCCTCACGAGCCGCATTGAGCTCGCTGAGGCACTTATTACTTTTTCCTGATGCATTTGCATGAAAACAAAGCTCCGTTTTGTTTTGCACCTGCTGAGGCTATTTCTTTGCAAGTAAAATGGACTTGGGGTCGTATGATGAAACTCATTTGCAGCAGCTGACTGAGCGTTTTCGAACGGACACCAGCGCAAGCTTCTGTGAGAAATCGGTGGCACAGTAAAGGTATACTACTTACCCAGAGATGCAGTGTATGTTGGTGCTTGTTGACCTGCCTGTGAGATTTTCAGCAATGAGGCGCTCAGCACCAAGAGCGAGGCGCTGCAAATGTACAGAGACAGCATCTTTCAAAATTTGACCTTCAAAGGATACGGTTACAAAAATTATCTGGAAAACTTTGAAAATAAAATCATTAGGTAAGGAGGGTGCAAAAGAAAAGTGCACTGGCTGCGAGCAATGTGAGTCCTACAGTCAATGGCTCGTTGGTACCGGGCGTTAAGCAGTGGGTAGAAGGGAACGTGCACAACTAAGGTTTCGACCTGCGCTTGCAAAGCTTCACCACTTGAAATCCACCAGTATATCTCTTGATAAAAGTAAGTTGTAAAATGGTTTCACAGGATGATGGTAAAAGGGGACTAAGTCGAATGCAGCGTCCTAGCATGTGATCACCTGAGCTCCAGTTCTACGTGAACAGGGAAGCTTGCACCTGTGTAAATGTGCTAGCCATCGGGAGAACTCTGCTATTTCTATGCCTTCCTGTATAATGCTTTGTTTGGCAGAGAACAGAACCATAGATTTTCGGGAGATATCAAGTTATGGGCTGGCACTGAAAAGAGTCTTTCGCCTTCTCCGTTCGGTTGTCGGCTCAGCAGACAAGACGGGTCCACCTCTCAAAATGCTGGAATATCTCGCCTTTGCGCAAAACTTCAATGTAAGCAGAAGAACTGAATCATTATGGGAGCAAGATAGCGCTTCCCTTGCGGAATTACGTCGCCTTGTTTTTAAGAAAGGCGCCGACGATTTTTTTGGGATGTCAACATGGAGCCTCCTACCTAACGTCACATGCAATCGTGAAAATTGCTGAGCTCGCTACAGTCATTATTTCTCTTGCTCCAAGTCGCGGAGTATACTTCAAGCTGTTTCCTTCAAGTGCCGTGCTGTTTCAACTGCAAAGTTTAACCACGACCAACGACGGCGACGAGGCTCGGCGGGGGCATATGTGCCGAGCATACCACAAGGGAAATACTTTAAATGTCCCACCACAGTACATGGAGAAAATCAAACTGCAGGAGTAAACGGGGTCGTTGTCGCCCCCTTCTGACGTCACAGGGGCGTTTACCTGGGTCATGGTAGCGGGTCCTTCTCTAGCCTTCAAAAGCAGGACTACCAGATACGTCGTGGCTCAGCAATGCTAGCAGCTTAATACTGGCATTTTTAATCAAGAAAGAGCTTACATGATTTCCGGTGGAATTAATTAGGTGAAGGAATTCCCGTTAGCAGGTGGGGCTACGTCACACTCGTTTCTGCTGGCGTAGTATATCTCCATGTGTATAGTGCAGTCAACTTATTGGCTCATTTTCTGGGCCATATTCACTGAACCCAACTGTTCCTTCGAATCTACATGTGGCGCACAGTTGCGGTGGCGAGACTATACGCGTTTTGTGGCTTTCACAGGATGGGTCGTGACTGTATTGAAAATCATCTGCCGCGGGTGCTTGCCAAGAGCGTTTCCTGATTGGCCCAGCCCACAGGGGCACAGAGGGGGAAAATGGACGAGGTAGACGTCATAGATTACCATATCTGGCAATATAATACTTGACAGACGGGCCGAGCAATGCAATGGAAAAACAAAATTGAAGAGATCAAGACGTTGTCTTCACTGCAGGGCTTCCAGCGTCTATCCAGATAAATAACGATAAGCCAAGCCGCAGATGGCGTATGGCAGCTGAAAACAGCCCCGAAAACGTTTTGCCCCAGTTTAAACACATTGCATCCGACCGGGCTCCTTAGGCAAACTGCTGCGAGCTTGCATACGCAGTTTGTTCCCACCCCATATCATCGCTCGACAGGGCTTCCCATACGCCTGCCTTTTTACTGCTGAATATCAGTAGGCTTATCTGATTCTCAGTGAGATGGGAAAAATACCCGTTAAATCTAGCGGGATCCAACTAGCGTTGAGAAATTAACAGTTCAAAATTGTCTTTCGACAACCCTAACGCATGTAGCAAGCATTTGGTGCATGCTGGCTGCGAGAACAAACAGCTTCCGACCCGCCTCAGACAAGCAACAGAAACTGTTCCCTTTTTCACGCTTGAAAAGCGACTGGAAAGGATGTTTCCTTCGGGTCGATTTAAGTGTGAAGCGCTGCTTCTCGAATTTACCTTGAAGCGAAAGGCGCCTGCGCTGTTGCCAGCGTGCAACGCATAGGGTTGCAGTGCTGTCATACTAACTGCCACGATCAAGAATGCTCCTAAGCCTGGGGTGGCTGTTGAAGCTGACCCCGTGAGCGAGGATGAGATCTTGTCCCACTGATCCTGCCTGTGCAAAAACAGCCAACTGTTGTACACTCATAGTCAACGTCAGAGAAAGCCATAGATTGTGAACAATTCGGTGGTGAGTTGAAGGGGTTACGCCGTTGCTTACGTGAATGGGGCAGAATTTCCGTCTGGAAAAGCTGAGGGCATCGTCTTGCAAATCAGCGCGTAGCCATATTCGGGGCTTTGTTCTGAAACACTTTGCGTCTCTTCGTTTTCTGTAGTGGTTTTAGTGCAGGTGACAACTCGGCAGTCTGCAGTGGCATCAGACGAGGGGTTGTACAAGGCTACAAAAGAAACGTTGTCTTGGTTGTTGTAGAGATTTCCAGCTTGACTCTCTGACGGGGGCAGTCCAGTGAAATTTTTGAAGGCTGCCTTCCAGTGATCAACTGTGTCTTTGCAGTTAGGTTCGGCGGCAGTTAGGGACATGAAAGCATATGTTCCTTCCTTAAAGGGATTCTCTGGGTTGGAGGCAGCCACCGGTTGTGTATCCTGCGATTGAGCGAGGGAAAAAGGAAACATAACATTGCCGGAGATGGTTAGTGCCCGTGGTTTTAGAAGTACTCTGCGCCACTTACTGGGATCAAATACTCGCAGATGTTCTTCCACTGGCTGCCGTCGTCTAAATTTCCTTGTTTTGGATCACTTATTTTATCAACGTCTGAAGCCTGTTTGAAGTTGCCCAACCCGGCTGCCTCACGGACAGCACTGACCTCACTGAGGCATTTAACGCTTTTGCCTGCAGCGTTTTCACTGAACCACACTTGGTTTGTGTCATGCATCAAATCAGACTATTTTTTAGCAAGTGTAAAGCACTTGGAATCGCATGACGGAGCTCACTTGCAGTTGCTGACTGTGATTGGTCTACGCCTTCGAACGAATGTCAGCTTACGCCTTCACGAAAAACAGTCACAAAGATATACTAATTACCCAGAGTTGCAGTATAATTTATTGTTGGTGGACTTCCTTGTGAGCCGTCCATGGATGAGGCGCTCAGCACCAAGAACGAGGCGCCGAAAAGTAATGGTATGCACACAGGCAACATTTTTGAAGTTTTGAATTTTAAACCACGCGGCTGCAAAGATATTCCTTAGTGCACCTTAAAGGGGAAATCACTTGGTAGAGGAGATGCAAAATAAAGCTATATTTGCAGGAAACAGTGGGAGTCCTTCTGCCAGTACCTCTGTGGAATGGGACACTGGGAAATGGGCGGGAGGGAGCGTCGACAGCTAAGGTCTGGATCTGTGCTTGCAGAGCTTGTCCACTTGAAATCCAACCAATATATCTCTTGAAAAACACACATTTGCAAACACGTCCTTTCAGGGTGAGTAAAGAGGAGACTAAAAAGAGTGCAGCTTGCTAGCAAATTCACCGCGCACTGACTAGATCTGGGTGAACACCGAAGTGTGAAGCTCTGCAAGTGCGCGACCCCCTGGAAAACTCCACTCTTTCTATGTTTTTTATAATTGCTGCTCTTACCAAGAACTAAACTGTAACCCTGTGCGGGATTTCAAGCCATCGTCTTTAACCATCATTGCATTTCCCCTGGCTTCAGGGGCCAGCTGGCAGGGGCACAGGGCGGTGAAACATTAGACGAAGAAAATGTCATACCGTCCTGTATCTAGCATAACAGTACTTGATTTCCGGATATAACTAAACTATGGAGAGAAACGAAATGAACGAGGTCAAATCCGGTCTCCCTCAAGTGATCGCCAGCATCCAGGGACCAAGGCCAACGCGCCAACTCACAGATAGTGGTCATCAGCTAAATGCGACATCTAGAGCATTTCGATGTGATTTCGACACTCTCTGAGTGTCCGGGCAACTCTGATGGGAGGTTCGGAGACATCAATGAAGCCTCTGTGCCCTCCGCATATTTGCATTTGACAAAGCAAGCTTAAGGCGTGTCAGGTGTTGCTGAATATCTAGTAGGCTCAGATACATCTTAATAAAACGTAACTGTTGTATCTCGTAGAATACTACCATGGTTGGTGAAGATTTTTCCTTGACGACTGCAGTGCACGGAAGAAGCATTTAGTTGAGGTCAGCACTGAAAGTTGACAGCTCCAAACCTATCTCGGGCCGGCAACGGGACTCAATTACTTTTCTGCGCTGCAAAATCGACCAGACGGCGCTTTTTTGTCCATTTTCCGTGAATACAGTGCTTCACAAACGTTGTTATATGCAAAGTCACATTTGCGTGTAATAGCGCACAGTCTTCAGTTCATAGACTCCAGCGTCATAGCGCTGTCAGACTAAAGACTGCGAGTAAAAATACACCAAAACCTGGGATGGCGACTGAAGCTGACCCCGTGAGCGAAGATATGATTCTGTCCCACTGATCCTGCCTGCGCAAAAGCAGCAAACGCTTGCATACTCACAGCCCACTTCACGGGAAGCTATGCTTTGCGGACTCTTCAAAGGTGAAATGAACGGGTAGCATCCAGACCTACGTAAATGGAACAGAATCGTTGTTTGTAAAAGCGGTAGGTATCGTCTTGCAAATCATCCCGTAGCCATATTCCTTGCTTTCCTGTGGATCACTTTGTTGCTCCGACCCTCCAGTGGTAGTGGTTTTAGTGCAAGTGATAACTCGACAATCTGCAGTGGCATCGGATGAGGGGTTGTACAAGGCTACAAAAGAAACGTTGTCCTGGCTGTTGTACAGCTGTCCTGCTTGGCTCTTTGATGGAGGCAGTCCGGAGAAGTTTTTGAAGGCTGACTTCCAGTAATCAACTGCCTCCTTGCAGTTAGGTTCTGCGGTGGTGAGGGACTTGAACGCATATATTCCTTGTTCAAATGGTTTCGCTGCACTTGCCGCCTTTGCAGGTTCTGTTTGCGTCTGAGGCATGAAAAACGAAAGTGTTACCGTGCAGAGATCACGAAAGATCCACCTGCTAAGTTTCCCCGTGAAACTTACTGGAATCAAATATTCGCAGAGTTTTCTCCATTCGGTATCTGGTTGTAACTCTGAAGTGCCTGGATCACTCAATTGTCCGTCCCCTGAGGCCTCTCCGAAGTTGGGCAACCCAGCTGCCTCGCGCGCAGTGTTGACCTCGCCGAGGCATATCACATTTTCCCCTGCAGCCATTGAATCAGAGTAAGTCAAATTTTTGTGATGCTTAGGCCGAGAATATATTTTAGCAAATCAAATAAAAACGGGACCGTCTGCCACAATCCGGTAGGAGCTGACTGCGACTGTCCTGTGTCCCCTGGAACGGAGCCAGCCGAAGCATCAGTTCGAATCGAGCGGAACTACAGTGCATACAGCATACCGCGGGATGCGGTGTACTTGATTGTTGGCTGATTTCCTTGTGAGCTGCCCAAAATTGAGCCGCTCAGCACCAGTAGCGAGGCGCTCAATAGCTTTCGGATATTCCGATGAAGCATATTTGCCGGATTGACTTCGAAGAATCAAGGATTCGAAATCAGAAAAATTAAACAGAAAGGGAAGGCCGCTAGCGAAGGAATGCGAATGAAAGTTTTACTGGAGGCCGACCATGTGCGTTCTCAAGGATCGTGCAGCAAGCAGTGGGCGATAGGGAACACAGACTGAACTTCAGCTCTATGCGCGCTGTGCTACATCACTTGAGATCCAATCAAAGAATCAATCAAAAAAAGGAAACTTCAAAAACACAGGGCAGAATGAGGAATGGGAAGCCTAAAACGAAAACCACCTCCCCAACAGACTTCGCAGTCACCTGACCACTAGATCCACATGAACGTGTGAAGCATGCCTCTGTGTTCACGTCCTCCTCTGTATGCGAAATCGAATCTTCCCATAAGTATTTCTAATATGTGCTATAGTTTTGAGTCCGAGGCAGTAAATGAGTGACGGGTTTCAAGGTGCCTGTCGACCTGAACCAGAGCTTGCTGTTTCCTCTGCAGCCGAGCAGGCGCGAAATGAACAACGCTAATAAGCATGGAGTATCTGATCTCTCCAAGAACAATTCTACATACGAATAGTAATCAAAACACTAGACGGGGCCAGTTGTCGGTTCCCGCATGGCCATACGTTGTTTTGCTTTTTCCCTGTAGCGAAGAGCGGCAGCTCTCAGGAGTCGTCAGAGGGCCTTCTAGTAGCACTACGAAAAAGCTTAAAATTCGTCACTAATGCCTGGCAGGTGGTGTACTGCACCAAGCTTTCAATAACCAATTGTACACCCAACACTACTATGCATGCAATATCTGGTCTCTCCAAGAAAAATTCTAAATATGAAAAGTAACCCAAAAACTAGACCTGGCCGGTTGTCGGTTCCCGCATGACCATACGTGGTTTTGCTTTTTCCCTGTAGAGCGGGAGCTCTCTGGAGTTGTCAGAGGGCCTTCTGACAGCACTACGAAGAAGCTTAAAATCCGTCACTAATGCCTAAGAGGTGTTGTACTGCGCCAAATTTTCCACAACCAATTGTGTGTGGCAGATGAATGCCGCTGCCAGCGCAGACTGGCCATATTGCGTCTAAAAGAGTTATACTAGCTTCACACATGAGGAATACCACGACCAGTTTTGTTCTAGTAGATAACTGTACCATTTGCTCCGAGAAACAACCACATAGTAATTCGGCATTATCTAGTTTCCCGTCATCGATCGCAGAATCAGCAGGCGATTGGAAAATGCTACATTAGTAAATTTATTTATCATTAGAGAGCTCAAACTAAAAAGGTCCGCCGTTCCTTATTCCGCCAGTAGCGTCGTAATCATCTGCCGCAAACATTTCTCACTGACGTTTCCTGCTGGAACCAGCCGGCAGGGACACAAATAGGTGGCAAATAGACGAAGAAGAGGTCATAGCGTACCATATCCAGCATTATAATATTTCACTGATTCACAGAATAATTCAAGTGAAGAAAACGAGATGAAAGAGTGCGAGATGCCGCTTTTATTAGAAGCTCGTCAATGCCTACCGAGACCCACGATGACAAGCCAAGCCGCAGATTGTTTGTTGCAGGTGGATGCAGCCCCTGCAGACATGGAATTAGTTTGAAGACAATGAGCTTGGCCGGGCAAAGCACCCACCTGCTTGCTTATTGCCGGATATCAGAAGGTTTACTTAATTCCCAATGAGATGGCAACGATGCAAGCTGAATCTAGTGGAAACCTAATGGAGTTGAGGGACGGCGAAGGCTCAAAAATCTCTTTTGACGGCTCTAACGTTTACAGGAACCACTGAGTCCACGCTACCTGCGAGGGTGAGCAGCCTCGAATCATCTTCAGATCAGGGACAAACATGAATTATCCCTTCATATTGCGAAAACGACCAGGGGGTGCGTTTTGGGCGATTCAGCCTGAAACTGAAATGGTTCTTTGTGGATTTAGTTCGACACAAAGCCGCAATCGCGGGCAGTAGCACCTCGTCGCTTATAAGGTCACGGTGCTGTCATACTTAACAGTGTGACTAAGAATACACCAAAACCTGGGAAGGCGATTGCAGCTGAACCCGTGAGTGACGATGCGATTCCGTCCCACTGATCCTGCCTGCGCAAAAGCAGCCGAAGCTAGTAACCTCCCAGTCCACACCATGAATAGTAATGTATTGCGGAGTATTCGGTGGTTGGATGAAACTCTGGCGCTGAAACTTACGTGAATGGAGCAGAATCATTGCTTGTAAAAGGGGTAGGTATCGTCTTGCAAATTATCGCGTAGCCATTTTCTTTACTTCCCTGTGGATCACTGCTCACGACTGATTCTCCAGGAGTTGTGGTTTTAGTGCAAGTGATAACTCGGCAATCTGCAGTGGCATCAGATGCGGGGTTGTACAAGGCTACAAAAGAAACGTTTTCTTGGCTGTTGTACAGCTGTCCTGCTTGACTCTTTGATGGTGGCAGTCCGGAGAAATTTTTGAAGGCCGACTTCCAGTAATCAACTGTCTCCTTGCAGTTAGGTTCTGCGGTGGTGAGGGACTTGAACGCATATGTTCCTTGTTCAAATGGTTTCGCTGCACTTGCCGCCTCTACAGGTTCTGTTTGCGTCTGAAACATGAAAAAAGAAAGTGCTGCCCTGTAGGATATCACGAGAGATCCACCTGCTAAGTTTCCCCGTGAAACTTACTGGAATCAAATATTCGCAGAGTTTTCTCCATTCAGTGTCTTTGCCTAGCTCTGAAGTGCCTGGATCACTCAATTGTCCGTCCCCTGAGGCCTCTCCGAAGTTGGGCAACCCAGCTGCCTCGCGTACAGCGTTGATCTCGCTGAGGCACTTCACACTTCCGCCTGCAGCCATTGAATTCGAACACACCCAATGTTTTGTAATAGATCGGCTGAGTTTGTCGTTTGGCCAATTAAAAAAAAAGGCGATCTTCTGCCGTAGGTCGCCAGCAGTTGACTGAGACTGTACCTGCGTGCCTTGGAACGCACGCCAGCCCAATCATCAGTTCGAATCGAGCGGCATCGTAAGGGTATACAACATACCGCGAGATGCAGTGTACTTGATTGTTGGTGGAGTTTCTTGTGAGCTACCCCATCTCGAAGCGCTCAGCACCAGCAGCGAGGCGCTCAGTAGCCTTTGGAAATACCAGTGAGGCATATTTGCAGGCCTGATATTGAAAAATCACGGCTGCGAAGAAAATAAGGTTGAAGAAAAAAGAAAGACCACTAGCGAACGGAATGAGAAGCAAAATTCTTTATTTAGGGCCGACGACGTGAGTCCCCTCCGGGATCGTGCAGTAACAGGTGGGCGTTACGGAACGCACACTGAGCTTCAGCTCTATGTGCGCTGTGCTACATCATTTGAGATCCAATCAAACAATCAATTAAAAAAGAAGACCTTGAAAACATAGGGCAGAATGCGGAATAGTGAGCCTAAAACGAAAACCACCTCCCCAACAAACTTCGCAGTCACCTGAGCACTAGACCCACATGAACATGTGAAGCATGCCCCCGTGATCACGTCCTCCTAAATACGCGAAATCTAACCTTCCCATGAGTAATTCTAATATATGCTATATTTTTGAGCCCAATGTGGTAAATGGGTGACGGGTTTCAAGGTGCCTGTCAATCTGAACGAGAGCTTGTTCTTCAATATTTCCTCTGTAGCCGGCCAGGCGCAAAACACCCAACACTACTATGCATGCAATATCTGGTCTCTCCAAGAAAAATTCTAAATATGAAAAGTAACCCAAAAACTAGACCTGGCCGGTTGTCGGTTCCCGCATGACCATATGTGGTTTTGCTTTTTCCCTGTAGAGCGGGAGCTCTCTGGAGTTGTCAGAGGGCCTTCTGTCAGCACTACGAAGAAGCTTAAAATCCGTCACTAATGCCTAAGAGGTGTTGTACTGCGCCAAATTTTCCACAACCAATTGTGTGTGGCAGGTGAATGCCGCTGCCAGCACGGACTGGCCATACTGCGTCCAAAATAGTTATACTAGTTTCACACACCACGAACGGTCTTGTTCTAGTAGATAACTGTACCATTTGCTCTGTGGAAGAGCTGCGTAGTAGTTCGGCACCTTCTAGTTTCCCTTTATCGGTGGCAAAATCAGCAGATGATTGGCAAGTGCTGCAGTAGTAAATTCATTTGTCGTTGGAGAGCTCAAACTAAACAGGTCGGCTACTCTCTATTCCGGAAAATGAAATAAGCAAGTAAAGCCTGCATATTGCACAGCTTCAATTAAATTGTGGGCCAGAACTGGAAGAAGCCTGCGAAAAGATGCTTTGGAAAAAAATACGAAAAAAATATTCTCGGTTGGCTCTTGTGCAACGTTTCAGGATCGCACCAAAAATAAGCTGGAACACGGCGCAGGTGGAAGTTCCGAGAGGATAGCACGAAACAACATAAACTCGTAATGCCGAATATCACAATGGCAAGAGCAACAAAGCTTGGAGCTGCTCTAGATGCGGAGCCTGCGGGAGAAGATGTGATCTTGTCCCACTGCTCCTGCCTGCGAAAGCTCCATAATTATATGGGCGCGATTCAGTTCATCTGACAGCAATTAGGGCGAAGTGGGTAGCGTTGTGATGCAAGGGCGAAGGTGCTACTTACGTGAGTGGAGCAGAAGTGTCGCTTGTAAAAGCCACAGACATTGTCTTGCAAATCAGCCCATGGCCTTTTTTTGTAGTGGCGCTTTCCCCACAAGTTGATGTGACTCCCGAACGTGATGGCGAAGACGTCGTTTGGGTGCAAGTAACGACTCGGCAGCCCGCAGTAGCATTAGAAGAAAGTTTGTAGAGGACTACAAAAGAAACATTGTCCTGATTTTTGTAGTGTTTCGTCTTCAGTCTTTGACGGCGGAAGGTCAGTGAAGTTTTTGAAGTCTGCATTCCAGTAGTCAACTGTTTGCTTGCAATTGGGTTGCGTGTCATCAAAGGACTTAAAAGCATATGTTCCGCCTTCAAATGGTTTCGTTACGCTCGCTTCAGTCACTGGTGCCGTTTCTTGAGTCTGAGCAAAGGAATAACGTAACGTTTTAGGGCAGGACAATGCTGTTGGTCATGACGTCGGTAGTATTTTGTGCCGCTTACGGGAATTAAATATTCGCAAAATTTTTCCAATCGTTGCCTTCCTGTAGCTCTGCTCCTTTTGGGTTGTCTAATTTTTTATCGTCTGTAGCCTCTGCGAAGTTGGACAGCCCAACCATCTCGAATGCAGTGTTGACCTCGCTGAGGCAAACGGGGCTTTGCCCTGCAGCAGTTGGAGTCAGACGCATCTGCACTTTGTGACGCTTCAGCGGAAGCTTGTCCTTGAAATTAGACTGGACGGTGCACAGCGTAGTAGGGCTCACTTGAAGGAATAGCCCAGCGAAGCTCACCTTTGGAAGTTGCCAGAGATCCTGTCTCTATGCTACTGAACGCAAGACGACCTACGAAGTGAACTGCATCCTACAGGTTTACTATTTTCCGGGAGATGCAGCCTAGAAGCTGCAACGTACGACTGGTAGGGAGCGTGCTGCTTCATGTTCCAACACGAAGTGCGTGTGACAGGCAAATGCATAGGCACTCCATGTTACCTCCGAACCCGTGATTCTACCTCGAGAAACGGGAGACTTCATAAATAATTCTATGTATTCTCCATGAAAAGTATAGTACTTGGCCGAAGGGCCAAAATTGAGTGCCAGCAACCACACATCATTTCGTTTCCCTCTCTCTAGACCACAATTAGCGAATGATTGGCAGGCGCCACAGTAACAGCACAATTTGTCATGGAGAAGCAGAAATAAACGGCATTTCTTGGTTACAGAAAATGCGGTAAACAAACAAGGCGTGCATGGCACAAAGCTGCGATTAAACTGTAGCTCAGAACTGCAAGAAGACCGTGAAGGGATGGTTTGGGAAAATGCGAAAAGTCTTCTCGCTTGACATGCGCCACGTCTCATGGCTACACCAAAAAGTCAGGAAGAGCGCGATGCAGGTCGCACTTTCCAACTGGAAGGAAGAATATCACAGTAGAGTGGTGATGACGAGTGTCACAATTGCAAGAGCAACAAAGCTTGGAGCTGCTATCGATGCGGAACCTGTGACAGACGATACGATCCTCTCCCACTGCTCCTGCCTGCAAATCACGCGCATTCCCATAGACAAGATTCAGTCCAACTCATAGCAATGGAGGCGATGTGGGTTGCACTGCAGTGCATGAGCTAAATTCTTGCGTACGTGAATGGAGCAGAGCTGCCAGTTCCAAAAGCAGCAGGCATTGTCTTGCAAATCAACGCATAGCCGTTTTTCGTAGTTCCGCTTCCCGAATAAGTTGACCCCACTGCATCATCTGTAGCAGAGGTAGTCGTTTGAGTGCAAGTGACAACTCGGCAGTCTGCAGTGGCTCTAGATGAAGGGTTGAAGAGGGCTACAAAAGAAACGTTGTCTTGATTTTTGTACAGGTTTTCGTCTTCAGTCTTTGATGGCGGAAGGCCAGTGAAGTTTTTGAAGGCTGCCTTCCAGGAATCAACTGTTTCCTTGCAGTTAGGCTTCGCCGCAGTTAGGGACTTGAAAGCATATGTTCCGTCTTGAAATGGACTCGCTGCACTTGGCTCAGCCATTGCAGCTGTTTCTTGCGTCTGAGCAAAGGAAGAAGGTAATGCTACATGACAGGATTACCCTTATAGCCACGACATTGATATTTTTCTGTCCCGCCTACCGGAATCAAATGTGTGCAAACTTTTTTCCACTCGCTGTTGTCCTGTAGCTCTGATGCGTCTGGAGCAGTTAATTTGGTGCCGTCCGATGCTGTTGTGAAGTTGGTTAGCCCAGCTGCCTCACGCGCAGCGTTGACCTCGCTAAGGCACTCGACGTCTTCCCCTGCAGCAAACGCATCCAGACACATCTACATTTTGAGATGTTTCACCTGAAGCTGCTTCTTGAAATATAGAGCGACTAGGAATAACGTAGCTGACTCGCTTGCAGGAGTGGGGAGTTGATTGCGGTACTGTCTCCGTGATACTGAACGCAGGATGGCCTGGTAGCTTCACTATGACGCGAACAACTGGGCAAAGGCTTGCTGCTCACCAAGACTTGCAGTGTACTTGATCGTGGGCCCAGTTGCTGGTGAGCTGCCTAGAGTTGAGGTGCTCAGCACAAAGAACAAACTGCTGAGAAGTAATGGTAGGCCCCAATGAAACATCTTTGAGGAGTGACCTTTAAAAATTCAAAAAAGAAATGTAAAAAAGAGGACTGTGAGCGAAGGCAGTGCAGAAGGACGCAATGCCGGGAGCCAGTGGTTTGTTTCCTGGTGACGTTAATCCCTGTTTGGAGATCCTTCGGTGAGCAGTGGCCGTGCATTGGAACGCGCAACACCGAACCGTAGATCTGTGCTCGCAGCGCTGTAACACTTGAAATTCATTCAAGTTATAAATTGAAAAGCATAATATTTTCGGAAACATGGGGCCTATTGAATGTGAATGGGAAGACTTAAGCGGAGACGCCTGGCTAGATCTTTGCAATCCCCTGAGCACTAGATCTTCACGAGGAGGCGAGGCGCATGAGCGTGTGTGCAGATGCCCTATTCCGCAGGCGAAATCTGATCATTGTCGGACCTCATCTACGATCTGCTGCGCGTACGAACACACAATGATAAATGAGCTGCAGGTTTCAAGGTATTTTTCTGTTTCGAAAGGCGGCTCTTAAAAACTCTGCTTTGCTCCGCGGCGAGGCTGCCGGAAGTGCTCACTGCCTAGTCGACTGAAATAGCAGGCCTATCTAAAGGAAACTTCGAATATGAAGCGGAAAGGAAGCATTTGACCTGGCAAGTTGTCGGTGTCCATGTCTTGTGTCTGTCCTGCCTTTTCCCGGCAACGGCGAGCTGGGTTTCCCTAAGCTTGAGCATCTTCTTTCAACACCACAACACAACCCAAAAGCTAATACGAATGTCTGGTTGGCAATAGCCTTCTCAAACACTTCAATAACGAAGTGCGTGTCCCAGGCAAACGCCGCTGCCTGCACGGTAGGGGCAGAAGAATATGACTCCAAATCCCTTATAGCCCCACTAGAAGCACCACAGGCAACACATATAATTTTATTCTATAGGTCTGTTTACTAATAGGGCAAGGAGACGTTCTAGCGTACCACCTTATAACCCAGCAACATCTACATTCCTCTTCGTTTGTAGCGGAACCATCAAATGATTGACTGGCGTTACAATGGCAGGCATAATTTCTCATTGAGAGAGCTGGAACTTGGAACATCTGCCTCTCAGCATCCCAGATAATGCTGCAACTATACACGGCTTGCGTCATGCAGAGCTGCGATGAAATTGTGGGTTAGAAATAGGAGAAGTTTGTGGAGTGATGATTTGAGAAAAGTGCGGGAAGAGAGTCGTCCAGGAATTACTTAACATTCTCAGGTCCGGTGAGTCGAGGTGGAAACAACCGGAAAGGTTCCTGCCTCTCACATGTACTAGTAGGTGCTATACTACTGCTTCTTGACTGACACGTGTGCCGTGTCTCACCACGGCGCCGGAAATCGGACAGAAAACGGTGCAGGTGGTAGTTCCCAGATGATAGCACGAAACATCATAAAGTCATAATGCCGAACGTCACAATGGCAAGAGCAATCAGGCTTGGAGCTGCTATTGACCCGGAACCTGTAAGCGAAGACATGATCTTGTCCCACTGCGCCTGCCTGAGAAATGTCATCAACCGCATGCGCATTATGCACACGAAAATACGGCAATCGCAACCTCGTGAGCAGATCCGTGACGGGAAGGCCACCGTGTTACTTACGTGAATGGAGCAGAGGTGTCACTTGCAAAGGCAGTAGGCATCGTCTTGCAAAGCAATGCGTAGCCTTTTTTCGTAGTCTCGCTGCCCCCATCCGCTTGTACTCTTGTAGGTCCTGGCGTTGTAGTGGTGGTATTCGTTTGAGTGCACGTGACGACACGGCAGTCCGCAGTGGCACTAGATGAAGGGTTGTACACAGCTACAAAAGAAACGTTGTCTTGATCGTCGTACAGTGTTCCACCTTCCTTCTTTGAAGGCGGGAGTCCAGTGAAGTTTTCGTAGGCTGCCTTCCAGTAATCAATTGTTTCCTTGCAGTTTGGTTGCTCGGCAGTGAGGGACTTGAAAGCATACGTTCCTTTTTCAAAGGGATTCGCTGAGCTTGTCTTAGCCGCTGTCTCCGTTTGCTGCATCGGAGAGAATGAACACAGAAATGCCAGTGCAGGATGGCCTTGGGGGCCTTTACCTCGAAATACTGTGAGCCACTTACTGGGATCAAATACTCGCAAAGCTTTTTCCATTTTTCGCTTAGTTCTCCTTCCTCTGGTGCTGGAATACTTAATTCTGCGTCACCTGAAGCCTGCCCGAAGTCGTGCAGCCCAGCTGCCTCACGCGCGGCATTGATGTCGCTGAGGCACTCGACGTTATTGCCTGCAGCAGTGCATTTGCATTCAGACATACCTACGTTTTCCTTTCGTATTAGTTGGTCCTATTCCTTGAAAGGTAGAATGGAATCAGGGTCGTGTACCGGAACTCACCTACAGAAATTGACGCGTACCATGTCACCAAACACAAGTCACACTAAGGTTCAGAATAGAATGTGCAACAGAGTAAATGTGCACCACATACCAAGAGATGCAGTGTAGGTGACTGTTTCTTCAGTTTCTTGTGAGTTGCCCAGAGTTGTGGCGCTCAGCATCAAAAATGAAATCCTGAGAATGGGTGGTAGCTTCCGCTGCAGCATCTTCGAGTGTTGGCCTTGAAAATCACGGATGTGAAAGACTTACAGGAGAAAATATGAAAGCGCAGGGCTGTCTGAGAATGCTGTGCAAAAGAAAAGCAGTGCAAAAGCAACAATTTTTGTACCAAACAGCTTCACGTGCGCTGCCCTCAATCCGTCGAGGGGACCAGCTGTGACCACTGGCCCTTTGGAAACGCGCAGCACTGTAGTCTCGATCTGTGCTTGCAGAACTGCACCGCCTGAAATTCATTACATTACGAATGCAAAGCATTAGTAGTTGGAAATTTTGAGGAGAATGAATCTCAATCTTCGGGAGTCAAACGAAGATACACATCTACACAACTTCGTAGCCACCTAAGTAGTAGATTCACGAGAACACGTCAAGCCTGCACCACTATACGTGTCTCGTTCTGTTAGCGAAAATAAATCTCCCTATAGCTTTTTAGGATGTGATGCTTATTTATCTTTGTTAAGGTTCAAAATGGCAAGCGAGGTGCATGTTGTTTCGCGGCTAAGCGACCCGAAGATCTGACGCCCTATGTGGAGCAAGGTGTCGTTTCTCTAGTGGCTACACATTGTTTTGTCCCGTCCCTCTAGTAGCGAGCTGCGCTCCTATGTAGTCACACAGAGATGCCTCCGCCTACACGCGCGAAGCTGCCTAGAAGCTGCTACTTAGGACTGGTAAGTAGTGTTGGGCTCCAAGTTCCAACACGAAGGGTATAAGGCAGGCGAATGCTGCTGCTGACATTGGCATTCCATATTACCTCCAAACCCGCTATAAACAATTCTATTTATTCTACGTGGAAAATACACTATTTGGCCGAAGGGCCAGACTTGTGTGCCAGTGACCCTGCATCATCTCATCTCCCTTTCTCCATCACAGAATTAGCGGATGATTAGCATTCTCTGCAGCAACAGCACAGTTCGTCATTGAAAAGAGCTGAAGCTGCAAACATAGATATCTCAGCATCCTAGAAAATGCTGCGTGCACATGGAGCTTGCATCTCATGGAGTTGCGACTAGCCTGTTGGGCAGAAGTGGAAGAAGTCTGTGAAGCGGTGATTTGGAAAAGGACGAGAATGTTTCCTGCTCGAAATATGTGCTATGAATCAACAATACACCAAAAATCAAACAGAGCACGACACAGGTTGCACTTTCCAGTGGGTACAACGAATATCATAATAAAGTCGTAATGCCGGATAGCACAATGGCAAGAGCAACAAAGCTTGGAGCTGCTATCGATGCAGTGCCTGTGAGAGACAATACGATCCTCTCCCACTGCTCCTGCCTGCAAATCACACGCATTCCCATAGACAAGATTCAGTCCAACTCATAGCAATGGAGGCGATGTGGGTTGCACTGCAGTGCATGAGCTAAATTCTTGCGTACGTGAATGGAGCAGAGCTGCCAGTTCCAAAAGCAGGAGGCATTGTCTTGCAAATCAACGCATAGCCGTTTTTCGTAGTTCCGCTTCCCGAATAAGTTGACCCCACTGCATCATCTGTAGCAGAGGTAGTCGTTTGAGTGCAAGTGACAACTCGGCAGTCTGCAGTGGCTCTAGATGAAGGGTTGAAGAGGGCTACAAAAGAAACGTTGTCTTGATTTTTGTACAGGTTTTCGTCTTCAGTCTTTGATGGCGGAAGGCCAGTGAAGTTTTTGAAGGCTGCCTTCCAGGAATCAACTGTTTCCTTGCAGTTAGGCTTCGCCGCAGTTAGGGACTTGAAAGCATATGTTCCGTCTTGAAATGGACTCGCTGCACTTGGCTCAGCCATTGCAGCTGTTTCTTGCGTCTGAGCAAAGGAAGAAGGTAATGCTACACGACAGGATTACCCTTATAGCCACGACATTGATATTTTTCTGTCCCGCCTACCGGAATCAAATGTGTGCAAACTTTTTTCCACTCGCTGTTGTCCTGTAGCTCTGATGCGTCTGGAGCAGTTAATTTAGTGCCGTCCGATGCTGTTGTGAAGTTGGTTAGCCCAGCTGCCTCACGCTCAGCGTTGACCTCGCTAAGGCACTCGACGTCTTCCCCTGCAGCAAACGCATCCAGACACATCTACATTTTGAGATGTTTCACCTGAAGCTGCTTCTTGAAATATAGAGCGACTAGGAATAACGTAGCTGACTCGCTTGCAGGAGTGGGGAGTTGATTGCGGTACTGTCTCCGTGATACTGAACGCAGGATGGCCTGGTAGCTTCACTATGACGCGAACAACTGGGCAAAGGCTTGCTGCTCACCAAGACTTGCAGTGTACTTGATCGTGGGCCCAGTTGCTGGTGAGCTGCCTAGAGTTGAGGTGCTCAGCACAAAGAACAAACTGCTGAGAAGTAATGGTAGGCCCCAATGAAACATCTTTGAGGAGTGACCTTTAAAAATTCAAAAAAGAAATGTAAAAAAGAGGACTGTGAGCGAAGGCAGTGCAGAAGGACGCAATGCCGGGAGCCAGTGGTTTGTTTCCTGGTGACGTTAATCCCTGTTTGGAGATCCTTCGGTGAGCAGTGGCCGTGCATTGGAACGCGCAACACCGAACCGTAGATCTGTGCTCGCAGCGCTGTAACACTTGAAATTCATTCAAGTTATAAATTGAAAAGCATAATATTTTCGGAAACATGGGGCCTATTGAATGTGAATGGGAAGACTTAAGCGGAGACGCCTGGCTAGATCTTTGTAATCCCCTGAGCACTAGATCTTCACGAGGAGGCGCATGAGCGTGTGTGCAGATGCCCTATTCTGCAGGCGAAATCTGATCATTGTCGGACCTCATCTACGATCTGCTGCGCGTACGAACACACAATGATAAATGAGCTGCAGGCTTCAAGGTATTTCATGGCCCCAACGTGTGGTTGTTCACAACTCTCCTCTGATCCCCCGACCTGCGCAGCAGGTTGGAAGTGCACACTGCCTAGTCGACTGAAATAGCAGACCTATCCAAACTAAATTTTGAATATGAAGGAGAAATGAAGCATTAGACGTGGAAAGTTGTCGGTGTCCCTGTGATGAGTCTCTTTTCCTTTTTCCCGCTAACAGCGAGCTCGATTCCTCTAATCTTAAGAAGAGCGTCTTCTTCCAACACCACAGCACAACTTAAAAACTAGCACAAATGCCTGGGTACCAACAGGCTGCTCAAAAGCTTCGATAACGAAGTATGCGTACCAGGCAAACGCCGCTGCCTGCACGGCAGAGCCAGACCAAAGAGAGTCCAAGCCCGTTACAATCCCACTAGAAGCACCAAAGGCAACACAAATAATTTCATTCTATTGTTCAGTTTACTCATTGGGCGAGGACGTGCTGATGTGTCACCTTATAACCTCTTCTTTATAATGGAATAAGCAAATGATTGGCTGGCGCTACCATGACAGACGTAATTTCTCATTCAAGAGAGCTCGAACTTCAAATATCTGCTCCTTAGCATCCCAGATGATGCTGCAACTATACACAGCCTGCATCACGCAGAGCTGCGCCGAAATTGCGCGGCTGAGCTGGAAAAAGCTTGCAAACTGACGGTTTGGAGAAAATGCGGAAAGGGTTTTTGGCTGACGCGTGTGCCACGTCTCACGACGGCACCACAAATCAGACAGAAAACAGTGCAGGTGGTAGTTCCCAGATGATATCGTGAAACATCATAAAGCCGTTATTCCGAATGTCACAATGGCAAGAGCAATCAGGCGTGGAGCTGCTACTGATCCAGAACCTGTGAGCGAAGACACGATCTTGTCCCACTGCTCCTGCCTGAGAAATTTCATCAACCGCATGGACATTATGCACCCGAAAATACGGCAATCACAACCTCTTGAGCAGATCCGTGACGGGAAGGCCACCGTGTTACTTACGTGAATGGAGCAGACGTGTCACTTGCAAAGGCAGCAGGCATCGTCTTGCAAAGCAACGCGTAGCCTTTTTTCGTAGTCGCGCTGCCCCCATCCGTTGTCACCTCTACAGGTCCTGCAGTAGAGGTATTCGTTTGAGTGCACGTGACGACTCGGCAGTCTGCAGTGGCATTAGATGAAGGGTTGTACACAGCTACAAAGGAAACGTTGTCTTGTTTATTGTACAGTGTTCCAGCTTCCTTCCTTGATGGCGGGAGTCCAGTGAAGTTTTTGTAGGCTGCCTTCCAGTAAGCAACCGTTTCCTTGCAGTTGGGTTGCTCGGCAGTTAGGGACTTGAAAGCATATGTTCCGGCCTCAAAGGGATTCGTTGATTTTGACTGAGCTGCGGTTTCCGTTTTCTGCGTCAGACAGAAGGAAGAAGGAAGTGTTACAGTGGGGGATAGCCGTGGTGATCGTGTCCCTGGAATTATTTTTGCGCCACTTACTGGGATCAAGTGTTCGCAAAGCTTTTTCCACTGGCTGCCATCTTCTAGATCTGGTGGCTGCGGACTGCTCAATTTGTCTTCCTCTCCCATTTCTTTGAAGTTGGCCAACCCAGCTGCCTCACGCGCGGCATTGACCTCGCTGAGGCACTCGAAGCTGTTCCCTGCAGCAATGCAATTGCATTGGACATTCCTATATTTTTCTCGCATATACGTTGATCCTATATTTTGAAAAGTAGAATGGACTCAGAGCTGTGGATTGGAGGTCACAAGCAGAAATTGACCCGGAAACTGTCTCTGTGCGGCCAAACATAGGGCACCCTAAGGTTCAGTATAGAAAGGGGGACAGAGTGAAGGTGAATCACTTGCCGAGAGTTACAGTGTACGTGACTGTTTCTTCAGTTTCTTGTGAGCTGCCCAGAGTTGTGGCCCCCAGCATCAGAAGTGAAATCCTCAGAAGTGGCGATAGGTTCCACTGCAGCATCTTCGAGTGTTGGCCTCAAAAATCACGGATGCGAAAGACTTACAGCAGAAACTATAAAAGCGCGAGGCCCTCAGAGAAGGTTGTGCAAAAGTAAGTCATTATAGGGCCTAATACATAGACTCACGTTGAGTTCAATCCTTCGAGGGGATCAGCCTTGACCACTGGCCCTCTGGGAACGGGCAAGACGGAAGTCTCGATCTGTCCTTGCA